CTAGATATCTGTCCATCAAAATGTTGAAGAACTGCAGTATGAGCCAGACCACTTAACAGCTGGTGACCTTTCTATGTCCCATTAAACGGCCTTTTCTGTCATTCTATGTCCCATTAAACAGCCTTTTCTGTCTTTCTATGTCCCATTAAACAGCCCTTTCTGTCTTTCTATGATTTCTCTAGTCTCTCTTCAGACAGACAGATTTCTCTTGAGAGAAGTAAGATCTCTTAACAGGTGCTCTCCTTTACATGCACTTTCAGAGAATCAATAATCTAAACATGCAGATTTTCTAGACAGAGGATCAATCATAGGTGATGTTCTAGACAGATGACCAATCAGAGATGTTGTTCTAGACAGATGACCAATCATAGGTGATGTTCTAGACAGATGACCAATCAGAGATGTTGTTCTAGACAGATGACCAATCATAGGTGCTGTTCTAGACAGATGACCAATTATAGGTGTTCTTTACTTTTACAATTTTATTGACTATGCTTATTTTAGAAACAGAACAGACTTGTTCATTAAAGTAGTAGAAACACATCAACCATGGACGTGGTGAATTAGATAATTATTCTGCAACATACAGGTACTAAAAACTCTTGGGTTCATTTCAAAACAAAACTAAGTTTATTTGCCTCACTAATCGTTTCAGACCTTAATGACTTCTAATCAATTTGAAAGCCATCCTAGTGGGTTTTTCCCTCCCCACTTTGATAGAAATTCAATTGTGTCGCCATTAGCATTTATACTAATAACAGCCTGGTACTGCTCAAAACTGTCTAGTACTAATCAAAACAGCCTGATACTGTTTAGTTGGGCTATTCTAGGCAGTGCTAGGCTGTTATTAGTATAACTTGTAATGGTGGTACAATTAGTTTGAAATGAATCCAAGACTTCTCAGTAAATTGCAGGAGGAACTGTTTAATTCACTGCATCCATGATGGTTGTGTTTCTACCACTTTTATGAACAAATTCGTTTTGTCTTGAAAATGAACATAATCAATAAAAAATACATATCATCAACAGCATATTGAATAAGAATATTGACATTAAATTATCGTTTTTTAGACAGAATTTTTCTGTCTTGATAGATCGTCATATCTGGAAGACACTATCAAGATTTCTGACCTATTGTCAAGAGACTGTCTCATGCTTTTACTCAGTCAAATCAAGGGGTGAACTTTTTAATAGAAGGTTTCCTGATTTGTTCCCTGACAAGTGATCTCCCTTGAAAAAATGTTGCCCTTGACTACTACTACTATTTCAACATTTTAACATCAGCAGTGAGACAGCTGCTTTACAACATGACTGGTATCAAGTTTGCCATCTGTAAAGATAAACAGAGTAGCAAATATGGACAATTATCAGCTACTTTTTTTTTTGTTTCTTTTCAGAAGAATTGCACCAACTCCTATCACTACATACATTGCACATAACTAACTTTTACTCTGACAGAAATACTGACTGAAAAATGCTAAAATTAAAAAATAACAGAATTATTGAAAGCTGTCTGATCCAATTAAACCCCTTAAAACAAAATATACCTAAGAATATTGTTTCCCCTCCTCACTTCTCAAGATTAATGAAAAATAATCCCCAAAATTTTCATCCATTTCAAGTTCACTAGACATATAATTGATATATATTTTAATTCTAACACTTCTCATTCCTTTTTCATTCACAGACGTACGGTTTTACATTACAACAATTGCTTTTTCATCACAATTTTAACAAGGAAGCTCCATTTGTCAAATAGGGGTTAAGTGGTAAGCACTGAAGATCAGTGTCACTGAAAGCTTGATTATAACAGAGATTTGTTCATAGAATACAAACACTAAGGTGATAAGAAATAAGATAATGCAAAAAGTAGTTTCAATACCAAATGTCTATGATTATCTTGTATCAGTGCAATGCCGATATGGTTCTGAATCACAATTTTGGGTTATATCAATATTTCTCTCAACACTTGTATCAGCACAGTCATGAATCAGATATATCAAACAAAATTTGCCAAAAAGCTTGTAACTTCCACTGGGAAAACATATGTTATACATCTCAGCAGAGCTTAGATCAAATTATATAAGCAGAAATGGTTAAATGACAAGTAAATTAATGACAGAAGAAAGATAATCAGCATTTAAATACGTACATACAATAACATATACATGGTCATAACTATTTCTTATGTAATATGATTGTCTGGATGTTGGAAAATTTTCATTTCAAGTATTTATTTGTTATGATTGCAAAAAAAAAAAAAGTTAAAACAAGTAAAACATTTTCAGATCTTTGGATTGATTAAATTTGTGCTATGAATTGTTGTAAAACATGAAAATATTTTAATTTTCTTGAAGAATCCCAAAATCTCCTTTGTTGCATTGAATTCAAAATGTCGTAGGATAGCTATTTTTCTCCATTAGATATTACTGTATCTACATTAACTCACTTGAACAATTTGAAGTTCTGTACATTTTTGGTCTATATGGATTTCAATAGAAGTAAACAAAAACATGAAACAAAATCTTATCAACAACAAAATAAACAAAGATGTATTATAATGTAAAATGATAGTGTTAATGTATCATAATGTACCAGTCTTCTTTACAAGTATTTTACTTCATAACACAATTTAATACCTCAATATTGAAGTATTGCAATAAATTCATTGACACAAATTACACTTGAACACCAGAAACAAAAATATTGATTTGGCAAATGTGATTAATTGGGACTCTTTCACTGATATATAAGTAGCCATACACTCAAAATTTTCTCTAGAATCTTATTCTTTAATGTTTGAGACAAAATTAATACTGAACAAATTTGTGACGATTCAAGAATAGTCATTTCATGTTGCATTAATTCAAGAAGTGAATGTCTCCACCAAAAATAAAAATGTAACCTGTATGCAGCCTCAGCTTTACCAGAATTAACAATTTCACGAAAAAAAATTATTCATTTAATTTTTTTGAAATTCTCTAAAATTACTGCTAAACTTTCTATTCTGAAACTTAAAAACAGATTCTAGATCTAACCAAACATATATTACAAGCAAACTCTCTATATTGTATTGCACAAATACATTATAATGAACTACAAATCTTTCAAAATCCTACCCATGTTAGAATATAGGGCAACCTTAACCTGAACATTTTTTTTAATGAAATACAATAATATACTGTCTGGCTAATATGATACAATGCTTAATACTTTCACCAGTAGAGGTTTCATTGTAATATTATCTCAAGTCAAAAGTTACTATTTTGTCAAAGAAAATATTTTAGTAAAATTTACCAATGGTTTAGTGAAAATATTACAATATGAATGCTGAATATTAATGAAGCAGTATTACTGATATATTTATAATATATGAAATTTTAGTAAAATATTATTTCCATTTAAGCTGCAATAGCAAGCATGTGATAGAATTTGTATGGGAAAATTATTTGCGCAGAAATATTTTAGTAACAATATAATGTCTTTTAATAATTTAGAGTTATCTGCCCTTGTGAGAGAATATTGACTGATCGATCATTTGCCGGGTGAGAAAATTACTTTGTTTTCAAATGACATTTCTTCTACAAACAAACGATGTAACAACAAAGACCTGCAAACAAGAGCAGATAATTCTGCATTAAAAAAAGACAGAATTATTTCAATTGTAAAGGCATTACTGTACTATTTACAAAAATATTTAAATTCCTTGATACATTTTTAAAAATCATTTTTAATGTAAGTATTGATTCTAGCACTATCATATGATCTAATACACTAATTAATGAAACTGCTGTAATTAGCATTGTATTGAATATTGATGGCTTTAATTAGAGACAAACTGTCAATTAGTAAAGATAAAGGTCCTTGATTCGCACTACAGAAGACTAGTTCATATTTCTTAAAGTTGTTGTCAAAAGTTAAATACAAAAAAATTGTATGATAATGGAATAATTGTATAACAATGAACAGTTCATTTCTTTCTCTCTTTCATTTTTCTTAAACCAATTTCAATATTCTTCACAAAAAACAAAACAAAAGGAAAAAGAAAAAAAAAAGAAAAAAATATATATACATCAATATCTGATTTTTATCTAGTTATTTTTTAATAAGAATTGATCTTGAAATCAAAATATTTTTCATATCTATACCATTGAAAATGACTATTCCAGTAAAACATCTACACCACCCTAGACTTTGGGGCAACATCCATTGAGTTTCCTTTGGAAGTACAGTCGAACCCACTTAATTTGAATTCGGTCATATTGAAAAACCAGTTAATTGGATATAAAAAAAATTCATGCCAAAATGCCTTCTTTGTCTTACTATTTTCACCTCCTTTAATATGAAATTGGTTAATTTAAAATCCCATATCATTTGAAAGGTAAATACTGACCCTAAACAGTACTAATGAACTGTTTTCACATCGCTTGATTTGAAGGCCATCTCACTGCAGGCAGAAAACTCAGCCATGGATAAAAGTGATTTATGTTTTGAGGCCTGATTTCAAGTAGATGTCTCGCTGGAATAACCATAATCAATTTTGTATGGTTTTGTTACATTTCTGATGTATTTGTTTGATTATCAATACAGTGTAAAGTAGAAAAAGTGACACATAAAATGTCAATAAATTTGTTCATATATTGTTCATATGGAAAAGAACATCTATACAACCAAATACCTTACCTCAGAATTCCCACTTGGAATGTATATGTAAACCCAAAACATTTCATGTGATAACATGACAGCCTATTTCTGAAATCAACCCCACTTGTGTACATCACACACCACAGAACCTGTAGAACATGTACTAAAAAGTTTTACAATACTTTGTAACAGATACCGTTGTACATTTTCTACTCAGAAATCCACAAAAATGGGATCTCCTCCAAAGCAGTAAGATTTACAGTAACTTCAAAACCTGCTTGAGATACAGAACTCTTCAGATGAGATTCGCTGGTCTTGTTCGACAGCAGATTCCTGCTACAAATTGGACAGCTGTCCTATCGGAATGTTTCTTCCTCCGAGTCATGGTAGCGACTGACATGGTGATTATTTAGATTTGTCTCCTCTTGGTCCGATCTACAAACACAAAAGAATATATTATTCTCCTAGTGACTAACAAAATGTATGAGAAACTGTAAAATAGGATTTGTTTGAAAAAATTACATCTTATTATTTTCATAAGAATTTGTCTTCTCTTGGTCTGATCTATAAATACATAGTAGGATAAATGTTTTTCTTACTGACTTAAGGATTGTATGAGAAACTGGAAACAATGTAAAACAGACTTTGTGTGAAGAAATGAAGTTACTGTAGTAAATCAAGTTACGTTCATCCTAATTTGATCCTAAATTGCAAGGAGTTTTTTGTAAATTTTGATTATTTCTTAAACTAATTTCACAAATGATTCACTTTTAATATCAAAGCCAGTTTCTCAGGATTATTCAATATTATTATTCAAATATTCATGATAGATAGCTACAGGTAATTTGATAACCTGAATAAACATGGATGGGCTTATTACTAGACATGGGATTATCGGCAGATATATAAGCATTCAAATTTCACAATCAAAACCTGAATCTGAAGCATCAAAGCCAACAACTTCACAATCAAAGTTTCCTAACAATAAGCCAATGTCTGATAATAAGCTCGATCAATTCTCCTTCAATCCTGCCATCACTGCCCTGTTAAAAGTCCACTCCCCTATTTGTTGTCAGAGTTTATGTGTATACTAGTCATCCAGACTTATTACAGGAACTGTAACAACTTACCCATAATGCACCTCTTCATCAGAGTCATTCAACATAGATATGGCTGGGTTGTCCTTCAAGTTACTCTCTGTAGATATAAGGTAAATATAAATGACACAAATTAACCAGTAAAACGTCTCTGTTCCTTTGACCAAATGTACTATGAATATTGCTTTATCACTTTCAATAATAAATAATACAATGCACATTGCACATATTAAATAATTGAATAAAAATAATCACCGTTGCCAATGGTGAAAAACACAACAAACTTTTTTTTTTTATTTATTTCACACAAAATTGGTTCTGCTTTCTCCAAGGATGCTTCAGACCATATCCTGACAAAATCCGTTTCCTCAATTATTCCAGAAAAAAAATTTGTGATAGTAACATACAAAGTAGTATAAAATCATGATGTATATGTAAAATAATGCATACCACACAGCAAAAATAGAGAGGTGAATGGAGAGAGCAAATAAAACAACGCTCATAACAGTAACAAAGCAATTTTCACATAGTATCCAATATCAATGTCAAAACTCAATATAAAGGAAAAATTCTTTTGAACCCACATTCTTGTCTTATTGATCATATTTACTGACTTCATCACAATTTCTCTACAGCAATAGATGTAAGTAATAGCATACATACCAAACTGTGCATTTTTGGAAGGTGAGTATACAAATGCCATCGTGTACATGTAGAAGTTCAGGAGACCGTAAAACGACACAAATTCTATGGAGTTTTCATAGTTTGTAGACAGCTCTGCAACAAAGTTGTCCTGGAGGGCCGCTGCCCCAAAACGCATCACAGTTATTGTTACACTTATGGACAGCACAATCAGCATCAGCAGCGTCATAAACTTCAGACGAATATCTGAGAAAAAAGAAATTACAACTTTAGGACTTTTTTCCCATTCATTTGGGAAGTGGCCTTTTTTTAAAATCCCATTTTAGAAAGAAAACTGATCACTTTTGACTAAAACTTAATGAGTAAACTACATATTTTGGAAATTTGGCCAGATAATGAAATTGGAAATGAAAATACAATTGGGGATGGGGCATATTTTTGGCCTCACACAGACCCCAGAAAAATAACAAATAAAACCCTGAAATTTAATGTGCAGTCTCTTTATATCTTATGTGGGAACCTTGGAATATATTAACATAAACCATAACTTTCTCCCTACACAATGGGAATTAAACATATTCAATTTTTCTAGACTACAAGGCTGTTAATAAGAATAATGACATTAACCAGAAATTGACAAGATGCTACCTCTGCACTAGACCAGAGTGGAGAGTCATATCTGCATGTAAAATTGAGGAAATTCTTTAAAATCTCACCAAAGTAAGGCATGGATCGCAGTTCAGCGTACGCTCGAACCAGGAGGTATAACAAATACAACAGGTACAGCCCACCAACAATGAAAAAGAAAATCTTGAAACCCTGAAATAACAAAAGTCAGGCTCTAAAGAGGAACTGTAAGGTGATGCTCTGTATCAGCTACATGCTTGAAAATATCCAAAATCTATGTATATCAACAAAAGTTTATAGCCAATATAATAAAATTTATCAATGCTACAAATTTAAGTAAATAATATGTGACAATAGCAATATTGTAACTATTATATGCACAGTGTATTTCTGAAGACATGAACAAAGTTATTTCTATAGGACTTACCATGAAGTTGGTCGTGTCCAGGCGGTAGTAATAGGTGGGATCCTGCAGCTCATTATAGCCCTGCCATGAAGCTAGTGTGACAGCAGTGATCCATATTAATCCAACAATGATAAATTTTGGCAGGTAAAACTTGGCAAATCTTCGATCAGTCTTAAACAAATTGATACAAATCTAGGTCAGAGCAATTATGTGCAATAGATTACGTACAAGATACATAGAGAAGATAAACATATCTTAGGTATACAACCAAATCTGTCTTAGCAGACAGATCTAGTACCTAGCTTGTTATCTTTGTGATGACATATGTCCCTACTGTGAACAAATAGAAAAGTCTCATCCCCATTTCAACTCATAGATCTTGATACAAAACAATTTTCAAAATGTATTTTTCATTACTTAGTAATACAAAATAATTTGCACTATGCAATGTGATATTCCAAATCTGACATGTCTGAAATTTATTTTCATTTTCCGACGTGAATGCTACACCTGTGAAAACATACATACATACCTATATGTAAAAGTGGCAATCTGACATCATTATGATGAATAACTATTGTCTACAAGTCAGGTGAAACTAACATATGACAGAAAGATGTTGTATAATAGATGGGAGCAAATTCTGTATGTGTGTATTTCCAATTCATCAAAGTCATTGCAAATGGTTAGAAATTTTCTTTGCCAATATATTTCAATTCCCTACCTGTCTAACACCATGGTAGATACACAGCCAAAACATGAGCAGTCCACACAGGAAAGAAGCTTGAAAAACGCCATCCATGATACCAGGTACCCAACTATTTACCAGGAAAGTCATCGGGAACAATGGATCTGGAAATAATACAATTTGTAGATTATATACACATACACAGCAAAGCATAATTAACATGAGGTTTAGCAAAAAGATTAAATGTATTAGATTTTTTTTGTTATTGATCATGTGTAAAAAATCGAAAATTCCATCCATGATTCAAATTGGTATAACATTTCTTTTCTGAGATAAATGAAATATTTTCAAACAAAATTGCAATTCTCAATCTGAAAAATAAAAAATATTTCATCATTAGTTCCTTAATATTTTTATATGTAATTGTTTGAAAATGTGTTGGTTATTTTGTTATAAGTACACCCTCATCATTGTTTTGCTTCCCTTGGAAATCTCTTGTCACAATCACAGTTCTTACCATTATATAAGAGAAGCAGAGGTAACAAAACCGAGATCCATTTTTGCTCAATTGACCAGTCCCTCATAGAAAACCTCCTCAGAGAATGTGCAAACAGACACTGGAAATAAGAATCTCATGATTAACTCAATACCTGATCATATCATTTTTTCTTTTTTACACAACAAATGAATTCATATTTTTTATATACTTGGTAATTATTAGAAGTTCTGCAGATAAAAAATGCTAGTCTGCTGTAACAGTTATCTCCCTTCGGTCTTATAAAAGTTTCGGTAATACATAGTGCAATTATCTATGGAATTTGCATAATGACTTCCAGTAAAGGAAAGTTGTTCCTAACAATAACTGGTTGCACTAAGGTCCAAAGGTTGACAAGATATTGGGGTCACATAAATTTGGCCTAGATTTCAAAATGAAAGTCTTATTTCATGTATGCAGAGATGATGGATACACTTGAGTGAGCATTCAGTCTAGGTTCTAAGAGTTGGATTGACAAAGACAGGAAATACCACAACAGAATAGTGTCATTAATAATTAATGCTTTATATATATTTTTTCATGTTACAATCTGGTGTCAAAGTTGTTTCTGTTGAGCGAAATCAACCAAGGGGTTGAGTGAAATGAAACCAACCCACTCAATTACTGTTAAGCTCACCAACAGTAGCAGCCATTGAAAAAAAACACTTTTGTACTTAGAAGCCTTTGACAATATAATTAAAAAAAAAATTCCAATGAACACAAGAATTTAGTGATTAATTCATTTTAATTGATTACTTAATTAATCAAATATCAATTGATTAGAAGGAAGAGAAGGCAAAACAAAGTTCCAGAAGTTATCAAAGACATAATATTATGAAACTGGATATGAAATATGATATGGAATGATCTCTTTAATTCAGGGATCAATAGATCATAGTCCATGCTATAAATGTCTTTATGCTACCATCTGTGTTCTTCTCTCAACCCTGTCCTGAAGACAGCTGTTACCTATCTATCTACATACTGCACACCTGTGACTCTATTAAATACAGGTAACAATCCAGTACACTGAATCAATAGATCACAGACTTGTCAGCTTAGTAAGCAGAGTTACAACAACTTATAAAGGCCATGAATTCAAAATCAAAATTATTCCTTTGGAAAATACAACATTCCCATGATTATATTCAATAAAATGGACAATCTTTTTGAACCAATGATTGAAAATGATGAAAAAAAATTCATTTTTTTTGTTCGTTTTTTTCTTTAACATACAAGTACGTGCACTCAATTTTAAATCTGTCATTTTGGATTTTTGACCAACTTGGCCGACTGCACAACTATTCTATACTATCTTTAAAGAAATATATAAAAAAAATTCAAGTCTCCTCAAAATGTCAGTAATGATCAATTATATGATTTTTTTATTTCATAAGCTAAAAACAGAGTTTTTTTTTCAAATATCATCAGATGATAATTCTGATGTTCTGGTCAACTTTCATCACTTTATGTGAACACAAACTAATTATAATAGATACAACTGAAAGTAAAGAAGCAGGGTTAATGCGGCTTTTAAGCTATCAATGCTAGAAATTTATCCAAAATTTATCACTGTTTACAAAACATGGCTCATATGATGAAGATGACGGTCAATCAAGCTGTTTGTAAACATCCTTCACATTAATGATGCTAACAGCTGTTCTCAAGTTCTTGTCAAACATTTTCTTCTGTCGATTCATGTTACGTCTTCACGTCAAATGACTGAGTGTGAAGTACTATGATATCAACATTTCACTTTCTTCAGTAGAAACATTCACACATCAGTATTAGTGTGACTATATGACATTGAAGTTTTTGTCATGTCAATTAACTTTTTATTTTTTTATTTTTGTAATCATAATTAGATTTTCGAAGCCATATATATGAAAAATATATAAATCCTCATGCTTTCCATCATATTTCATTTTCATCAATAACACCACAAAAAAATTATTATGTTTCATTTTTTCTTAAGGTTTTCTTTTCAGCTTAAATTTTGAGCAATTATTTTCATCACTTGAAAGTTTAAATTTTTTGTAGTTGGCTTTCATTTTCTCTCAATTTTTCTTTTACCTCTTCTTTAAAAGAAAAAAAATCTGACAAGAGACCATCAGTTTTAAGCAATTTTCTGTTGAAGGAACTTATTCATTTAAAACTGTTATAATGATAATATCAGTTTATCGCATTGTCCTCAATTCGAATCTCAGAAAAAGTATAGAAGCTCTGTATGTGTTTTAAATGATCAACAACACAAAGATACTTACAGTGCCAAGGAATGTCATCACAACGAACACAAATCGGATCCAAATCTCAAGCTGGGTGAAGGATGTGTTATAACTCTTAAACTGAAAATGAAAAAGTTACTGTATTATTTTGAATCCATAATCATAATTAATGGCCATGGTGCTTTAAACATTATGCAAAGAGCTGAGGCTTTTAACTAGCATTGAATAGTTTACTGTTAACAAAGCTTAGCTCTTAGAAAAAATTTATGAAATAACATTTGACAGAGAGCCTAAATTCAAATTAATTTCTGACTTATTTTGTTTCCTTTTTTTCCCCTCATGTCAGATTGAAAACATTTATTTAAATTTTCTACCATCTAATCTTCATAACTAATCAAATGGAATTAAAAAAAATTTTTTACAGAAATTAAAATTTTACGGTAGTAAACATATAGTCTGCAGTATTGGTGAGAGATGTAAACCATACAATATTATGACCACAATATAATGTATATTATGGAGTGGATACTATACTTACATAGAAAACAATATCCTTGATGTTCGACTTAGTCGCCTCGAGGCCGTAGAAGTCAATGTTGATGATATAGTTTGTATAGTCCAAGTAGCCGAGATGAAGCAGGATCAGGTCATCACACACCTACAAAATACAGTGTTTGTTTGTATGTTTGTGCTTTCAAATTTTTTGAAATTGTGAAATCATGAATCTTGAGATTTTTTTTTGCTTTAGTTTTTTGCTAGGTGTATAGTCCTATGATCAGCCATGACCTCCTTGAAGTAGCTGGTGAATATCTTAATGAACAACATAAGGGCAGTCCATGGCATGCCATCCAGAGAAATAGGGGTAAAATTATTTCTCAAGAACACAACCACGTCAGCACAGACTGGTCTGTTACTCAGCTTCCAAAGAAACACAAACTGTAACCAGTATATAGGAAGTGTCAAACCCCACACTTCAGATCTTCACCTGAAGTTACAAAGGCCAATGCTCTACCAACTGACCAAGCTGAAGAAACCATAGAAACAGAATGGCAGACCTCAATAGATGATGATGACTCTCAAATCCGATAGAAATAATTACAAAACTGACCAACAAAGCAGCTGTATTGTTGTGTGGTATGAAGTTGATACCTAGCTTTTCAATTTTCACACTGCAAGTTATCATTCTGGAGTGTGATTTCAGGTAAAATAACACTGTTTTAGTGACATCAACTATGAAAATATAATATCAATCATATCATTTTCATATCCATCATTTTACATTTAATACATCTATTATTTTTACCTACATAAAATCAACGTTATACTTGAGATTCCTAACACGGTAATAAATTCTATATCAACATATGTATGTTTTAAGAACAACAATAAACTCCAAATCAGTAATACCAGGTAAACAACAGAATCACAGTACAGTACATACATGTGAGCAGCTCAGAAGTCTTGTCCTGTTATGTGCTATTGGGCTAAGTTCCGGGTTTTTCGTCTTCAATATTCCATGGTCTATATCTCCTTTAAACCCTCGGATCCCTACACCCACTACAAATGGCTCCTGGAATCGTGAACCTGGAACATGCAATCATTTTGTAAGTAAATATAAAGAATTCTCTGATTTCTTTTCTTCCCTAATAAGTCATTCATGCAGAAAGGAAATGACAATGAGTTTGATATAACAATTCATATTACTGCTAGTTTGTATATTTCTATTCCTTCAATGTCAATCCTCTAGTGATGCATGATAAAACAGAGACAAAAAAAGTGGAGTGTTTGATATAAACAAAGAAGAAACAGAATCTGTTTACCTACAAATACAAGACAAATGTTTATATACAGAAAAACATAATAAAGTACTTCATAGGTTAACACTTGGCCTGTAACTAGTTTATTCATGGAATCTGGATTTAAAACAACATCTTTAACCTTTTTTTGAGTTTACAATTTGCTGAAAAAAAGTGCATGAAGCAAAATCTGTGTATATTATTTTATTTACACATTAAAACATCAGTGACTATAACTTACCTCCCCTGTTATTGGTTGTCATGTGAGCAATCAACCACATCTGCTGGTGAAATGTCGACATTGGTGGAGATTTGAGCTTGAAATGTCCAGCAGCCACCTGGGAGTGACTTCCAACAGTTAGTGATCCATTGTGTGACACCGTCTCTATAATAGGGGGACCTGACAAAAACAACAACAAATGACATCACAATTAGACCAAGCAAACATTATGCTATGTTTTGTCAAATCTTTGTCTGGGTAACTGTGCATGATTCGTGATCAAATGTAAAAGTAATGTTAAAATCATCTCCAGGACATACAAACATCATATTGGTGTTTTTTTATTATTGTGTTGTTTTTTTATTCAAGGCCCTTATAACATATAATAAAAAATTCAATCATAACTTGAAATCTATAAAAGATATGGAACATATCATTCTCATTGTCAGAGTTAGTGCTTTTAACATTACAATGTAATAACTTTGGTTTATAATTTTAATTTGAACAAGAATTATATATAAATATGGCTATCTTTATTATTGAATTATGTAAATCTACCTGCCACTATTTTAAAATCGAAATGTGTCAACCTACCTGCCACGCCCACCATCACAGTGATTCCAAAGCAGAAGAAAAATATGACAAAAACTGACACAAACTGACGCTTTGACAGGGAGTACAGGCGCATCTGAACAGACCTAGAAAATTATGAAAGTAAGCATTAATAACAACTGCAAACACAAATTTTCAGTACAAAATTTTGCAATTAAGAAATTAGTTGAATAACAAATACCAGTACATGACTTAACTAATTACCTTTTAAAACTAAATTAACTGAATTCTGTCCCTTTGATTTTAATAGTTTTCTTTTTAAACTCGAAAATAAAATGTCATGACATGATAAAACAAACATGTAGCCACTTGGTTTCTAAACAGCATATTCTACTTTCTTCTTTAGTTCTCTCCTGAAGTTTGTTGAGATATTTTTGGCTGTTGATGATGCACATCTACTATAGTCTTGTGAAGTCCTATATTAATGTCGCTACATATATTACTAAGTCAGATGATTCATGATTTTGTTTAACGTTAAGCCAGAGACGTATATATCACGTATATATACGTCTCTGGTTAAGCTAAGGAATTGAATGAGGTTATAACATATCCTGTTCTACTTATCTCCAAGGAAAGGTCCAAACAACATCTTCAAATGTAGAATTACTTTTTTAAAACCCACAAGAATAAGTACAGTGTGTACTACATTAATCAAAATTTTTCAGTGGATACCTGAAGTCTCTGATTGTACTTTTTCAGAAGGAATGTGTGAATTACAATTTTTTTCTTTAGCACAGGGCTCTCACACCCCATTTTGGGACAGGGGCCCAGGGCCCTTAGAATTGGGAAAAATAATGGTGTTTTCCTTAGAATTGGGATAAAAAAGATACTATTTTGCATTGGAATATTGGGCCCCAAATCTGGCAGATCTAGACCCCTGTAGCATTTTTTGTTAACCAATATGAGCAATCATAAGTCAATATCGATTTTTGATCAGTTACCTTTTCCATTTAAATATAGTCAATATACACTAAAAACTACCAATTTTACCTATGCTGAAATTTAAACTTTTAACCATACTATGTTGATTTTGATGGGTTCTTACAATAGAGGTTTAAACAGTCTTTTCGATTTATATCTAACTTGCTACTTCAGAAAACAAAAAACAAAACAAAAGTGACCTGTTAAGGTGCATTTTTCTTTCATTTTTTTTTCAAATGTATATTCAAAGTAAAATTTCATTCAATAGTCACAATAAATGAAACCATTTCCTGAGTGAAAATCATATTTTTACAAAAATAAAAACCGTGCCGGCGTTTTACTATGAAGATGCGACAACTCGGCCACGAAAATAAATCTCTTTTGATTAACCATTATTTCCATTAAAAATAACGTAAAACATATAACCATTTTCCTAATATCTTTGAACAATAAATGTGTTACAGTTATTTTGAATATACGTGTGTATGTTTATCAAATACAGGAAGCTTCATAGAAAAGAAAAACGTAAAAACAAGCATCCGAATTGTCTTCCATTTTGACTACATGACACGAAGCAAGTCAATTTTGATAGAGTACATGTTGACCATATCGATATCGATCTGTGGCTTATCTTGTTTTGGCTTCTCTTCAAACAAATATCTAAAATGAAATGGTTCTGTAACAATCAAAATTAGAGTAAATAAACAACAAAATAAAAATCTTACGATTCAATTTCTGGTGCCATGTTGGCAGTGCTTAGTGCCCGCAGAAAGTTGTCCTTATGTTGACTTCCTGGCAAGAATTTAACTGACAATGATTTGCAGACGACGACAACAACGTCTGTAAGACGCTTGTTATCAATGGGGCCGCTAATTTTTATTTAAACCTATGACGATTTGTGTATTCGATCAATTCCACACAATTACAAATAACTTCATTACCCGATGCGAGCTCTTGCCACACATTTACAAAATTGTAAAACCATTGGGAATATAAAAAATACACAGGAATCTGCCTGGTCGCACTGGTTAGTAGGCCCAACACAAAAACAATGAGCTGTACATTTTTGTTAATTCATATTAGCCTTCACAAAGTCGAATCACCGAAAAAGGAATGGATACTGGATTACACGGGACCAATGATCCCTGATCAAACATCTAACTCGTATGAACCCTTGTATCGTACGTCAGAATATAAACGAGTACAACTGTACTTTCGGATCATTGTATTTGTCAGACACGCTTGAGTGACGTTTTTTCAGTACTTAATTAAAACGGAGTAACTTAGTCAAAACATTTAAATGTCCCCGGATGGGTGAGTATTATGAGTCTGAAATAAACAATAGAAACAAGATGAGAGTGCTTCAATATGTATCCATATGTTTTCTGAAGCAAAATGGTATATGTAAGGACACACAGATATAACCGACTCACACTATCAGGTTGAACTCAAGCCAACCATTAGATTCGAACACCTAACGACTCACCTCTCACATCGATCGTGGTAATAGGAGGGCGATATGTACTTAGAAAAGGCACTGAATACATCGGAGAACTGTGACAGAAAAGCACGGGCATTTTCTGTCCATGATGGCGTATGAAATGAAAACGAGTAATTATCCATTGTAGGATGCACGCTGGAGTCGGTGAAGGAATGATGGACTTCCCGAAAGACGAGTAGAGCTTTGCTCGTCACGTCACCGTCTATGAACAACTCACGTGCCTATCCGGTTCACAAACATGTGCTGGGTGCCATATTGGATTCTTGTGATGGAACTGGTCTCTCTCGCTTCCTACAGAGCACCAGTTGTCGGCTTCAGCCAATCACCTTGCTTTGACGTTTAATATTCATGACAAGAGTATTGATCAGTTCTGAATAACTTTTGCGTATCGAATTCTATAAGATGTGGCGTCACTGAACAGAATGACAAATACCGCGTGCCAAATAAGGATCAATAACGAGTGATCGATACCTGTATTTACCCTTACCGTTGAATGTACTTAGAGTATATAGAGTGGTGTGTGCGTCAACTTGTCATGTGCTAATTGCATGTCACGATATGTATCTGACTTAGGCCGCCATAATTAGTGTTTAAGGCCTCTATAACCGGTAAATATGACTGAGGACGTTATAACAGGTGTATCAGACTGACGACGCTATGACCAGTGTATTAGACTGAGGACGCTAATACCGGTGCATCAGACCGAGGACCCTCTAACCGATGTATCTGACTGAGGATGCTATAACCGGTGTATCTGACTGAGGACGCTATAACCGTTGTATTAGACTGAGGACGCTATAACCGGTATATCTGTCTGAGGACGCTATAACCAGTGTATCAGACTGAGGACGCTATAACCGTTGTATTAGACTGAGGACGCTATAACCGGTATATCTGTCTGAGGACGCTATAACCAGTGTATCAGACTGAGGACGCTATAACCGGTGTATTAGACTGAGGACGCTATAACCAGTGTATCTGACTGAGGACGCTATAACCAGTGTATCTGACTGAGGATGCTATAACTGGTGTATCAGACTGAGGACGCTATAACCGTTGTATCAGACTGAGGACGCTATAACCGGTGTATTAGACTGGGGACGCTATAACCGGTGTATCTGACTGAGGACGCTATAACCAGTGTATCAGACTGAGGACTTTATAACCAATGTATTAGACTGGGGACGCTATAACCGGTGTATCTGACTGAGGACGCTATAACCAGTGTATCAGACTGAGGACGCTATAACTAGTGTATCTGACTGAGGACGCTACAACTAGTGTATCTGACTGAGGACGCTATAACTAGTGTATCTGACTGAGGACGCTATAACCAGTGTATGTGACTGAGGACCCTATAACCGGTGTATCAGACTGAGGACGCTATTTTGGTGTACCAGACTGATAACGCTATAAATGGTGTATCTGATTGAGGACGCTATAACCGGTGTATCTGACTGAGGACGCTATAACCAGTGTATCAGACTGAGGACGATATAACTAGTGTATCTGACTGAGGACGCTATAACTAGTGTATCTGACTGAGGACGCTATAACTTGTGTATCTGACTGAGAACGCTATAACCAGTGTATCTGACTGAGGACGCTATAACCGGTGTATCAGACTGAGGACGCTATAACCAGTGTACCAGACTGATAACGCTATAAATGGTGTATCTGACTGAGGAGGCTATAACCGGTGTATCTGACTGATGACGCTATAACTAGTGTATCTGACTGAGGACGCTATAACCAGTGTATCTGACTGAGGACGCTATAACCGGTGTATCAGACTGAGGACGCTATAACCAGTGTACCAGACTGATAACGCTATAAATGGTGTATCTGACTGAGGACGCTATAACCGGTGTATCTGACTGAGGACGCTATAACTAGTGTATCTGACTGTGGACGCTATAACCAGTGTATCTGACTGAGGACGCTATAACCGGTGTATCAGACTGAGGACGCTATAACTGGTGTACCAGACTGATAACGCTATAACTAGTGTATCTGACTGAGGACGCTATAACCAGTGTATCTGACTGAGGACGCTATAATCGGTGTATCAGACAGAGGACGCTATAACCAGTGTACCAGACTGATAACGCTATAAATGGTGTATCTGACTGAGGACGCTATAACCGGTGTATCTGACTGAGGACGCTATAACTAGTGTATCTGACTGAGGACGCTATAACCGGTGTATCAGACTGAGGACGCTATAACCGGTGTACCAGACTGATAACGCTATAAATGGTGTATCTGACTGAGGACGCTATAACCGGTGTATCAGACTGAGGACGCTATAACCGGTGTATCAGACTGAGGACGCTATAACCGGTGTATCTGACTGAGGACGCTATAACCAGTGTATCTGACTAAGGACGCTATAAATGGTGTATCTGACTGAGGACGCTATAACCGGTGTATCTGACTGAGGACGCTATAACTAGTGTATCTGACTGAGGATGCTATAACCGGTGTATCAGACTGAGGACGCTATAACCGGTGTACCAGACTGATAACGCTATAACCGGTGTATCTGACTGAGGACGCTATAACCGGTGTATCTGACTGAGGACGCTATAACCGGTGTATCAGACTGAGGACGCTATAACCGGTGTATCTGACTGAGGACGCTATAACCAGTGTATCTGACTAAGGACGCTATAAATGGTGTATCTGACTGAGGACGCTATAACCGGTGTATCTGACTGAGGACGCTATAACTAGTGTATCTGACTGAGGACGCTATAACCGGTGTATCAGACTGAGGACGCTATAACCGGTGTACCAGACTGATAACGCTATAAATGGTGTATCTGACTGAGGACGCTATAACCGGTGTATCTGACTGAGGACGCTATAACCGGTGTATCAGACTGAGGACGCTATAACCGGTGTATCTGACTGAGGACGCTATAACCAATGTATCTGACTAAGGATGCTATAACCGGTGTACCTGACTGAGGACGCTATAACCAGTGTATCTGACTGGGGACGCTATAACCGGTATATCTGTCTGAGGACGCCTATAACCAGTGTATCTGACTGATGACGCTATAACCGGCGTATCTTAGGCCTCTTTAAACGGTGCATCATAGGCCCCTATAATCATGATATGAATAAGGTCACTTTAGCAAGTATATGACCGCTATAGCCAGTATATTTAAGAGAAGATACCACAGAGACTATAAGTCCCTTTTTAGAGTTTTCACACTCGGGAGTCAATATTGATAGAATCTTCCCCTACCCTGAGGGTGTGATAGGGAAATCTCCAACCCGAGGGCTGATTTTTGTTGTTGTCTAACCCGAGGCTCTGACGAGGGTTAGACTACAAAAAAATCACCCCGAGGGTTGGAGATTTCTCTGTCACATCCTCTGAGGGTAGGGGTTGATTATTTTTCTCCCACTCCATTATTTCCGCCACGACGTAAAAAAAAATCCCACGGTACAAGTGTCTGAATGGCGCATGAATATCACCATTCACGTTTCCAAAATTCTACATTCTTCCGCGAGAGCAAAATGACAAACTACAAACGCAATATGAATAACCATTAGAAATATTTATTTTTTGGAAATTAAATATTTTAATTAGCGATAGATACATGGAAATACTTGTATTGAACAACATTTAATTCCCCTATCATTTATTAAGGTAGGGTAGGCTTGCCGCGATGTCATGGACAAAAAGGGGATTTCCCAGTTTATAATGACGTCAATTGTTTATGCGCGCGAAAAATTGCAGAGCCTCGGGTTAGACAACAACAAAAATCACCCCTCGGGTTGTAGATTTCTCTATCACACCCTCAGGGTAGGGGAAGATTCTATTAATCCTCCATGGGTGTTCCACATGGGACATGTCTATCCTACATGGGCAGAGGTGGGAGAAAGATTTATCCTCCATGGGTGTTCCACATGGGACATGTCTATCCTACATGGGCAGAGGTGGGAGAACAACATATCTCGACTCTACTGTTTGACTGTGTGACTTCCATAGTACTGTGATCATTATAGGATATATATACATAACCGTCGGTTTTAAATCCTTCAGCATGCACCTTATTGACGTCAAGCGCCTCTAACACTTCCCTGTAGTTATCTTATAAACAACTGTATATACAGATGACAGAGGAGCGTGACTCCTAGGGCCAGTTAACACAGGGTCTTCCTCCCATTTATAAGCACTTGTCATTACATTCGCTCAGTTGCAAAGTATGCACTGTTGGGGTGGTTTTCTCCGTGACTTTATATATATGTGTTCAGATTTGCAAATTTATGACCTAAGGAAGTTGGTCAGCATTGGATATGGACAAAGGAATAGTGAATTTTTCGTGATTTTTAAATTTTTTTTATTAATTTGGGTTCCATGCTTTCAAGACTGATGCGAAATTCGTGGGATAAGCAAATATTACAACGTTAAAGGTAAAGTACGAACATAGATTGTCGAGACTAGATTTATTTACTTATTTACTCATTTATTTATTTATTTTTATTCATAATGATAATTCAAGTACTAGTCCAGTTGTTGTGATCATTTCAATTCTTCCATTACCCCATATGCAAAGCCAAAGAACTTACATTCATTGCCGCATTTGGATCAAAACCGGTAAACCGGTTTAGACAGTGTTTGTCTGTTCCCGGAATGCCGTTTACACTTATCCTAAATTAATGAATTGATGACATAATTAAGGAAGCTAGAGTTGTCTTATAAAAGTCCTGCATATTACGAACGCAACTTACACGAGGATTGCTAAAATTGTAAATTCTAAATCTGCGCATTTTGCACAGGGTCTTGACCATAACAGTGCACACCTTCAATGGAAACGACGTCCTATCAAAAACAGAAGATGACGTCACAATCAATTATTCGTTACAGTTAATATGACCTTGTTCGTGGGTGCTGACCAGAGAAAATCTGTATAAAACTGAACAAAACTAGGTACAACATTTATCATTCCAAGAAAATAAAAATGCTGGAAAAGTATTAGATATTCAAGTGGATAATGTTAATGGTTTAGAGGAAAAGTGGTCAATGTGACGTCATGCATTCTCACTGGGGACCATGAAAACATTGCCAAGGAAAATTAGAGGAAGTTTTCTATTTGGAAAGGAAAAGTGACGTCACTGTTCTATAAATAAAAGGTTATTATATACCGACTCACCGGTCATCCCACAACATGGTAGATACAAAGTTAGGAGAAACATTTTAGAGATACAATTGTACCTGTTTCTTCATTGTATATATGAATGTGAAAATGAATATGAAACAAGCACTTTCAAAATTAATTCATTTGAAAACTGTTTTTAATTGTATTTGTTTAAATTAAGCTCACATCAGTCCTGTACTTGATTGGTATCACGAGCACAGATTTCTGAGCAAGTTTATACAGAAATTCTTTCAGTCATATGTATATTGTTTGTTTGTTGGTTTTGTTACCCGGAGTCATTAAGGAAGTGTTAGGTTTGGGTGGCGGAGCAAAGCTGAACTGATATCACACCCTGTGTCTTTCCCAACGTAGTTTCTGAAGTTTTCACAGGAGTCCGAGGACTGATCCTTGGGAGCTTCACACCGGACATCTAAAACTTACTGTATTCATCGGGAACGAAGATTTCGATCCAGTTGGAAAGTTTACCATCACTTCGTTAGAAAGTTAGTTTATTGTTTCGTAATGAATGGCAAACTAAATAAAAAGTCTTAGCGGAAGCCATAAGGAGTACACCCGTCTGGAATCCTTGGCCGCAATTGTTGGAAACTCCAGCGACAAATTCTAATAATTATGATCCACAGGAGCGAAATCTGCAGAAAATATGTTGAAAAGGTAACGGGATGTTATTATCAGACCAGCTTTCCTCTGCCAACCAAACCTGATACAGCCTTCATGACTCTAGCTGTTAATAGGACATAAAACATCAGTAAACACACTCTAGGCCTTCGTCGATTAGAAATCTTACACAATGTAAAACTTATTTTCATATTTTATAACAAATGATTGGCGTGTTTGATAAACCGTTTCTTTTAGCAATAATTATCGCGCCGAGTCCCTGTGATCAGAGGCTTTGTGCTTGTCCAATAAGATATGTATAGCTGTTTTGAATACCAACACTTAAAAGTCCACTTACACAAGATAAACAGTTGTTTAAGTGTCAAACCTGACAAGAGACATTTTACATTCTCCTTCTCTGTGTCACGGCAATTGTTCTCGGCCCTCCCCAGCGTCTCTAACTCAACGTCCGTGGGAATAGTATATATTATGGGCAAGCCGGTGTTAGTGGGGTTCTTTTTTCTACGTTGAAAAGGAATCTCGGCTCCACTGTCCACGCGAATCCATTCTGAACGTTACACCGGTTGGCCGAAACGCGAGAGTGGAGGTCTAGGTTCTTTGTACTGGTAGACACGGGTTCGAGTCCTAATATAATGTGAATTCAAAATTGGATCTTTTATCAAAGTCGAAATTATTTACATTGGTATTATTATCTCGATATTGTTTATCTCGACATTGTTTATCTTGGTTTTGTTATACATTTCTTTTGTTTTTATATCGTTTTTCTCGAGATAGCATTTGAAGAGTAATAGTTGTTGTATATATCTATGTCTATATGTGTGTGTGTGTTTGTGTGTGTGTTTGTGTGTGTGTGTGTGTGTGTGTGTGCGCGCGCGCGCGCGCACTTGAAGCATCAAATCGCTTTGAAGGCACATTTTCTTATTATTATGATTATTAATTTTTTAATTATGTATTGATCATTAAATGTTTTTTATCAGTAAAATATCTGCTTTATCCTGAATTGGATGTTGATAGGTAAATAATGACTTCAGTGTCCTTGTGTCTTTTATGTTTTAATATCTACCGGAATCTGTAAGATATCGAAAACAAGCAGATCGCCTTGATAGTGTAGCAAGTCACTTAAAAAAGTGTTATTTCAAACCAGAGTTAGTTATATCACAGTTTCTAACAAGGGTTTACGGTCTACTTTCTTGCCTCATCTCTGATCATTTCTGTTCTCAGGAAACTCTTGAGTGATTTTGTGTACATATAAAGATATCAGATTGCTTGACATCCGGGTCTACATGTTGACTGTGCATCACACTCTCACATCCGGTCCGGTTCAGTGAAGTGTAAGAGGCAGAGGGAAGTGGCGCATGGGTAGTGGGTGACCTGAATAAGGCTACATACACATAAACCGGTAACACTGACTTCCGACGGGATCAAGACAGTAAAATCGAACTTCGTTATCACGAACTGATAATATTTCGAATGCCCGCTTATCTCGAAATCAGTTATTTGATCGTTTGACAGTGAGCCGTAGAGAACCCAAAATATCACAACGGCTAATTTCATTCTGGCACATTGCCTGCGTGTTCTTATCAATCCCAATTTAGTTTCAAATAAAGCCTTTTCTCAAAACTGATTTGGTCTCTGAATATTTATTGCTATGAATCTCGAACACTCTGTTATTCTGAAGCCAATTATTTATCCAGTGATATTGTACGTAGGGTCATGGGTCTCGAATATCTGCTTAAATCGAAGAAATATTCGGATGTAAATTTCGGATGGAAGTATATCAGGAATTCGATCTCTGTAAATTGTAGTTTATCTCGATCGTATATCCGCTGTACATTGTGTCGTACACTGACAACGTGTTGCTATCAAATTTGATTTCGAATATCTGCTTATCTCGATGCAGATTGGGTCTTCCTTTGGGAGTACCTGCTCATTAAAGTCAATATCCGTTCATTGGAAATATCGTTTCATTAATTTCTACATAAACGCTCACATATATTTGGCACTTGTGTCACATTGTGAAACGATGAGATATTAATCCTTTGTCTCATTGTCTTAAGAAAGTAGATGAATAAGGACATTTCTACAAATATATTTCAATAGAACAATAACAAACTGGACGATAAGATCTGAAGTGGACTGGCTAAATCATGCATAATGATACACTGTACACGTGTAGGAACATCATTAATATCCGTCAGTATGGAATGGACCGAGTCTACAATATTTGAGTTTATATGGAATAATTCAAACAAAGCCGAGGTGGAAATTAACAGTAATATAGGATATATTTCCTAGATGAAAAAAAAATTGGGGAAAAAATGGGAAAATTAATATCATACTCGTCACCGTTAGCCTTATCATCCCTAAGTAATAATCACATGCCGTTAGTGTTACTATGTTTAAACTTCCTTTTTAAAGGAAACGGTGGTAATGAAATGTTAGTATACATCAGTCCAACGAAATAAAAAAATCGTTTTGTTAAATTTGTCATTTTCATAGAAATTGGGGAAAACACAAACCACATCCCGGATATAGTCGGTTTGTCAGCACTGGGTTCACACTGGTATAGATCTATGTAAACAACGTTGTGTACACTCTGACAATCACATTCACTACAGTAGATCAGTTTGGAATTCTTCTTCATGCGCCATATGTCGATTTTTCATATCACGGACGGTCAGTAATCCGGATACCACTGTCCGAAAGTTCGATAATCCAGTTAGAGGTATCTGGAGACGTGATAATCCAGTTACCACTGTCTGAAAGTTCAACAATCCAGTCATCGCTGTCCAAGAGACAACGATCTAGACGTCACTGTCCGGAAACTCGGTAATCCGAATCACAATTTCTCCGGAGACCTGATTTTCCTGCTACATTCTGATTACATGTAATGTTACCTTTCGATCCGAAATGTATTTAAAACTTGTTATGCTGTACATGGATAAGTGATTACTGTCAAACTCGAGTTTATTTGCGGGTTAATTGTAACTGGATTAAAGCGTCTGATAATGATAATCTGCCTTATCCTTTACAGGTTTACAGCACGTGGTAACAAGATGTCATCAAATGCTGTTATAGTAGCCGTGTGTAAGTATCTAAGCCAGGTTACTGTAATATGATTAATTTTAGTGTGAATTTATTTCCGCTTATTTCGTGAGTGTTCTTAATCCACGAATTCAAATGTCCACGTAAAAATTAGTATAAGTAAATATCTAGAACTATATTTATCCATGAAATCAAATGTCCACGCAATGGGATTTTTTCAAACAAGGAAAATCGTGCCCTACGAAAATATACTATTTTACAGTACACGCGGATTTAGTGTCCCTTCGTAACGGTCAGATTTATTTTTGTCACCTTACACTCTTACCGTAAGCGGCTCAAAACTAAAGTTTGATATATCAAAAATATATTTACATACAAAAATGTACTCAGATTATTTTCCTGATATGTTCTAGGTTCCGTCGGATCAGGTGTAATGGGATTGATCGCAGGTCTCCTCATCATGTTTGTGATCAAAAGCTGTCGGACTAAAGTGTACGGTTTGTTGTCCTCGCACATGCATTTGAGATGATTTTATCACACAATCTGCCCATTATCTAGAACATCTACCCATATAATGTTTATGCGTATATATCACTGGTGTAATATACCCTATACCACTTTTCATTGACTGCGGCACCAACGTTACGTCATTGATTGAAAATGGCGCAACAAAATGGCTTCCACCGTTTGAATTTGTCATCCACATTTACACTTTAGATCCTGTTACTTTTCTGGGTTGTGAGATAAAAAGTATCATAGGTATGTTTTCATTTCATATGAGATTTTGTGAAACTCGTTTCGAAGTTTAACATCTTTGCTTGCCAAGGTTCTAAAAATAAAAACTTCAGAGATTTGTTTCTATTTTACTGTATCTTTCTTTGAGTTTTGAACTATTTGATGTATGATGGTTTAAGAATATTGTAATGTCTATGTATAACAATGCAGAAATATTAAAAGAAAGAAAGTAAAAAAAAAAACAGACTTGTTTCAGAAAATCTCTTATTAGTTTAAACCCAAATGCCCGAAAATAGAGTGAATAAAGAATTGAATCAACACTTGTCTTGGGATAAACATGACGTCATTCATTTGTTTAGAAATTTCGTTGATTTCTGTCGATGTATTCCTCATGTGGCTTTTCCTCATGTTTTAATGTTTCCTCAGTTCCTCATGTTGTCTTCCCTTTTGTTTTGATGTTTCCTCAGTTCCTCTTGTGTCGTCTGTTTTTTTTCGTCACGGGTTTATTTTCTTTCTTGTCCGTCCTTTTATTTGTTTTGGTGTCTCCCCAGTTCCATTTGCTGTCTTCCCTTTTGTTTTGGTGTCTCCTCAGTTCCTGTTGTGTCCCCACTCCTTTTTTGATACGATGAGTATTTCTTTCTTTCTACATTTCCTATTTTCTTTCCTTTATTTCTACTTTCGGGTTTTTTATATTGTTTTTGTGTCTCCCCACTTCCTGATGTTGTTTTCCCTTTTGTTTTGTTGCTACTCCACTTCCGATTGTTGGTTTTTTCCTTTTCATTGCATTCATACTTTACTCTTGAACAGGGGCAATACTGACATAGAGACTGACGTTTCATTCCGCCGAGAGCCCTTCCCACAGGTATATGACTATAGGAACGAGAATATCAGATCCTGGGAAAATACAGACCCCGTAGCTTCTCAGATAACGAATGATGGTGAGAGCGGCATCTATTGTAGAATATCAAAGTTTGGTGAGTGTTGGTTCTTTAAATTGTCCAAAACGGCTTTAGTTTTTTTGTTATAATTACACTAAAATGACGTCAGTTTTAATATTAATGATATTCTTCAACGGTTGTACATGTATCTTCATGTAATTAATGCTAAAAAATATTCATTTTTTGTTTTGTTTGTACTGGAATTATGCCTCATAATTCGGAAGTATACCATTTTCACTCCTTCTCAATAAAAACATGTGGACCAAGACATCACCTATTCTCCAAAAAAAGTGTGTAAAATATTTCTTTCTTTACGAATTTATTACACGTCGGCTCATGCTGTTTTAACAGACATTCCAGTGGTGACAGAGGATGCTGCTGTACAGACAACTGATGATGAAGCTGATTACGTATACCTGATTAAATACGAACAAGGTGTCCAATGTGACATCATCAGCACGTGCTCTTCTCCTACATCACCATGGTAAGTGTCTATGTATTTACCTTTCATGTTCATTGCTACTATCACCTGCTGTGAATTCAAGTGACGTATTTAACGAAGTAAATTGATTTGTCTTGTAAAAAAGAGATTTGAATCGAACGAATAGATATCGACAAGCAACAATTCAATTTCTTATCGTTTATCTCGAAAGCTATCGTATTTTTGCAACACGAATGAACTAAACAGCATTCGTCCCATCAGATTAAAATACCACGAGATCAACAGATTATGTGTTTGTAATACTAACGAGAATGATAATGCATTTGCAAGTTCTACGTTTACATAACAATAATGTGAAACTTGAACTGCAAATAAGTGACATTTTGCCAGGTTAACCGATACTTTGAATGCCTATACTTTTATCTAATCAATATTTTTTCCGCTTATACCAGTAACCAACCCACGTCGTCTTTCCCTCATGGAACAGGCATGTCTTATTCCACCTATCGACGTCATATCCGGGACGCTTTTAGCACGTGGCAGATTGTGCAAGCGGCTACCAATAATTCAAACATATGTGACAAAAACTGGTCTCATCCTTTACCGGATCATCGACAATATACTGGTAACGTTGAAACCCAGAACGAGGCGGCAGACGACAATGACGTACTGATGATAAAACTGACGCCGAATGTCCGTGATTTCCTCCACATGAATGGTTTGTGTGACAAACAATCGTCAGCTGAAGTTCAAGCAAACGTAAAGCAGACACACAAGACTATTAAACAGATCGTCACTTCTTTAGAAGGGTCAAGTCAAGGGAACAGTACTAATATTCATTCTGCAATTTCAGGATTAACTGTGGAAGCAGAAGACCATTATGTGAGGAGTGATGAAGACTATTTACCAATGGAAGGCCAAAATGATGATGATTACCTGCCCATGGAAAATCCCTCGGAAAACGATGAATATGTGGAATCAGTGAAACTGGATAATTATTCGTGTTTTTCATCTTTCCAACGAAAAGATATTTCAACGAAACCAATTTGTGTTAAAACTTCCGCATACGGAGATAATGAGTTACGTCCGGTTGAATGTGATACTTCCGATCGCTGCTATGTTGATAGTTCTTTCTGTACGGGTTGTGTTGACGATATTTATGACGATTGCAAAAGTGAGGATTCATCGGAAAATGAAGATTATCTGCCGATGACAACTAAGACTGCCCCTGTAAACGAGGACTATTACAACTGTAATCATTTGAAAGTAGACGACGATGACTATGTGCCCGTCGATGATCATTCATTATCGCGCAGACGCGGAAGTTCCACACACAATTCTGACTATATTAACTACCGACCGAGAGGTGGACACGCCGACGAATGCTGACAATCTGTGTGTGACATCGGCAAGCTGATGACTGGCTGGCAATTGAATCGGTTTGCGAAACTGGCCGAGAGGTGCGCACGCTGACAAATGCTGACAATCGGCGTGTCATTTGTACAATCTTTGTGAAACCGGAGAACACTGACGAGTCCTGATAGTCGGTGTGTGTCACTTCGATACATGTAAATATCGACAAGATTTTGGTAAATCAGCAAAATAGATAAAATAACATTTTAAAATTACATTGAAGTATCCACTCACTATATTACAGCCATGAAGAATATTGTAGAATCAGAATTGTGTATACTTTACATCAAATAAAATATATTTCCTCTCGAAATGATTTGGTCACTGTCTTTGGAGTCACGGAGTCAATACATGGGCGTGTCGGGTGCACAAATAAATCCACCTAATACTTTAATCGTGAAACGTTCCTTTTCATTAACCATTAACCATTAAGCTATTCGATCGATGATTTTCCCGAGAATTAGTGGTAAATTCCAACCAAAAACGTTCAGTAAGTTATGGCTAAATCAACGAGAATGGAATGTGGGACAATCAGGTTAGTGGTGACTAATTTAACGAGATTGGATATTGGTACAATCAGATTAGTGGTGAGTAATTCAACGAGATTGGATATTGGGACAATCAGGTTAGTGGTGAGTAATTTAACGAGATTGGATATTGGTACAATCAGGTTAGTGGTGAGTAATTTAACGAGATTGGATATTGGGACAATCAGGTTAGTTGTGACTAATTTAACGAGATTGGATATTGGTACAATCAGGTTAGTGGTGAGTAATTTAACGAGATTGGATATTGGGACAATCAGGTTAGTGGTGAGTAATTTAACGAGATTGGATATTGGGACAATCAGGTTAGTTGTGACTAATTTAACGAGATTGGATATTGGTACAATCAGGTTAGTGGTGAGTAATTTAACGAGATTGGATATTGGGACAATCAGGTTAGTGGTGAGTAATTTAACGAGATTGGATATTGGGACAATCAGGTTAGTGGTGAGTAATTTAACGAGATTGGATATTGGGACAATCAGGTTAGTTGTGACTAATTTAACGAGATTGGATATTGGGACAATCAGGTTAGTGGTGAGTAATTTAACGAGATTGGATATTGGGACAATCAGGTTAGTGGTGAGTAATTTAACGAGATTGGATATTGGGACAATCAGGTTAGTGGTGAGTAATTTAACGAGATTGGATATTGGTACAATCAGGTTAGTGGTGAGTAATTTAACGAGATTGGATATTGGAGCAATCAGGTTAGTGGTGACTAATTTAACGAGATTGGATATTGGGACAATCAGGTTAGTGGTGACTAATTTAACGAGATTGGATATTGAGACAATCAGGTTAGTGGTGACTAATTTAACGAGACTGTATATTGGGACAATCAGGTTAGTGGTGATTAATTTAACGAGGTTGGATATTGAGACAATCAGGTTAGTGGTGACTAATTTAACGAGATTGGATATTGGTACAATCAGGTTAGTGGTGACTAATTTAACGAGATTGGTTATTGAGACAATCAGGTTAGTGGTGACTAATTTAACGAGTCTGGATCGTCAAATTTGATATTTTGATAACAAAATTATTCTGTGTTAAACTTCTTTTTACTCTAAAAAACTGACACAGAAAGAGACTTAACGGCTGTGTATCAGATAACCCGGTATGAAGGATACTAGTAACCACTTAAATTCGGGACTAGTTTCCGGATGTGCTTTTCTATCTACAACATCTGTAGTCCTGTTTTATACACGTATATAAATATACTTAAGTGACTTCCGTGTTTACATATTTATAAATCTGCCGAATATTGTCCTATCCCTAGGTTTAAATATATTTGGCGTCAGTTTAGTCCAAATGGTGTCTAAACCCTGTTTCTGTTATCAATATTCGATTCTTTTTTATTCTCATCTTTAAAGATCGAGTATTCATTATTGATAGAAAATGTTTACAAGAGCGAAATGAATTTGATCAGATGGCTTTTCCCTTGAGATACTTCGAAGCGGTATCAGAACAACGAAAGGTTCGTTGAGGAATTCTGTATAAGGTTTTGGAGACAAAGACCAACAGTAACACGAGTTACATATCGACATCCGAATCCAAGGTTAGCCCTATTTTAAATTTAGCGGGTAATCTTTAGCGCGTAGATATCTGTTACGTGTTCTCAACACGTTGTGAGGGTTCAGTCTTGTAAGGACCAGCCCGGAGAGACGACACACTCGTGTTGACTGTGAGCCATGAATTTATTCTTTACTCAACACCAGTATATACAGTTCTATGTACTGTATGGTTCCAACAACTGAGACGCAGTAGGTAGTTGTGTCTTAGTCCTCCTACTGAACAAACGTTGAACATGGGAACTGTTCATACCTTCTGAAGGTGTATTCCTCCAGTTTAACAAAGCTAAGTATGGGTCACCTTCATTCGCTAAGGTCTTTGTCATGATCCTTTTTTGCAGTATGGACTGCCTTCTCTACCTTTCCATTGGATTGTGGGTATAGAGGAGAACTCGTTAAGTGTTCGAACCCATATGTTTCCGCAAAACAGCTGAACTCCTGGGAGCCAAACGGTTGGCCGTTATCAGTCATTGTCATATCCAGTATCCCGTGTCTCGCGAGATGCGGTTTAAGCTTTCCAATGACCTCCTTCGCCGTTTTGTCGCGCAAACGGTCAACTTCGAAATAGTTCGAAAAATAGTCAACAGTGATTAGGAAATCCCGTTGGTTCAATGTGAATATGTCGATCCCAATCTTTTGCCAAGGTCTCGCTGTAACCTCATGACTTATCAATGGCTCCTTCTGTTGACTGGTTGAATGAGCATTACAAACACTACATTCGCTCACGAATTGTTCGATATCCTTCGACATTCCAGGCCAATACAGACATTCGCGTACCCGACGAAGACATCCCTGGATGCCAATATGAGAATGCGAGGTTTCGATAAGATCTATTCTCTCTGATTCTGGAACTACAACACGATCGCCCTTGTAGATCAATCCATTTTGAACAGTTAGTTCATCGCGAAACGTGAAGTAAGTGTATAAGGATTCGGGTACTTCCTCACGAAGATCTGGCCATCCCTTGAGAATCTCGGACTTAAGTTCTCTTAAAACATTGTCCCTCTCGGTAGCTTGTAGCGGGTTTCGGTAATAGGTAGAATTACATTTACATGCTCGACTTCCTGTTCCGTAACAGACCGCTCTGCGGGACTGTTGATATAAGCACGACTTAGTGTGTCCGCCATGTACATAGTTGATCCAGTTTTATAGACAACCGTAATGTCGAATTTCTGTAATCTCAGTAGCATGCGCTGGAGCCGTTTGGGCGCACTCAAGAGATTCTTACGACAGATAATCTCTAGTGGCTTATGATCGGATTCTACTAACACTGGCCTACCGTATGTATAGGTTTCAAACTTTTCGATGCCAAAGACAACTGATAAGAGTTTCTTCTCTATCTGCGCATACCTTTCTTCTGTAGTTGTTAATGCGCGCGACGCATAACATACAGGATGTCCTTCCTGCAACAAACATGCCCCGAGTCCTGTTTGTGAAGCATCACATTGAAGTACGGTTTCTTTTCTTGGGTCGAAATACCTCAAGACAGATGCGTTGGTAAGAAGCCTCTTAATTTCTTCCAGTGCCACGTGATGTTCCTCGTTCCACATAAATTCTATGTCTTGTTTTATGAGTTGTCGTAACGGTGCTGTTACGTTGGACATCACTGCAAATTTCTGGACATAGTTGACCATACCTAGTAAGCGTTTCACTTCCGCTTTAGTTGTTGGGGTCTTCATTTCGGTGATAGCTCTTGTCCTTTCAGTATCCAGCTTAAGACCATCCTTAGTGATGACATGGCCCATGTATGAGACTTGATGCAGCCTCAATTTCAACTTATCCTTGTTGAGTTTGATATTGCGTTCCTTGCATCTTTGTAGAAATGCTGCCAAGTTTCTCTCATGATCTCGGAGCGCGATGTCATCACTGTCACCAGATCCATATATGAGAATGTCGTCGTGAATAACGCGTACTCCAGTAAGTCCTTCCAGAGCCTCATCCATCCTCATTTGGAACTCTTCTGGTGCTGGCGATATGCCAAAAGCATACACTTCCACTTGTATCGGCCCCAAGGTGTTCCGAAGGTCGTTAACAGGCTGCTGGCGTCATCTAATTCAACGTGCCAAAATCCGTTCTTGGAATCAGCTACCATAAATACTCTGGCCTTGCTGAGTTCTGGTAATATGTCATCCAGTGTAGGCATGGAGTAGTGGCTGCGTTTCAAGGCTTTGTTTAAAGGCTGTGGATCGATGCAAAGTCTAATTTTACCCGACGACTTAGTGACAACAACCATGGCAGAGACCCAATCTGTTGGTACTCGAACAGGCTCGATAATACCTTTCTTAACCAAACGATGTAGTTCGTCCTTAACCTTCTGTTTTATAGCTAGGGGAAGCTTCCTCACAGGTTTCACAGAATCATCAACTTCGAGATGAAATTTGCCCGGGAGCTTTCCTTCTCCTTCAAACACACCGTACTGCTTGATATCAGCTAAAGTTTCAACAGAGTTAATGGTTTCCTCACATTGTGTCTGAATGTTGTGTTCCTGTACAGTGATAAGTTTCATCTGCTGTAATGCCTCGGAACCTAGAATAGGGTGGACATCACCTTTGACTACTATGAATTCCAGTTTATACAGCTCAAAGTTCATTGGATTTTGGACAGAAACTGTACACTTCCCTACTGGCTTGATCTCTGTTTTATTGTACATTATCAGTCTTTTGTTGGTAGGTTTAAGTTTGTGCAGATATCGGTCGTTGCACGCCTTACCATACACGCGCGAGGGCAGTATGTTGACTGAAGCCCCACAATCAAGTTGAAATTCAATGTTCTTGTTCCTAATCTCCATCACAGCCTGGATGCGTTTTGATGAAACATTGTTGACTTCCTCCATAGAAAACATAAACTCATCAGAATCACTGTCAGTATCTATTTCATGTACATGTCTCTGTTTTCTCCCCTTGTGTTTACTGTGAAATGACGGCTTGTCTGTTCGTGTACTGCACTGTTTGTTACTACGACACATGACCTTGAAATGATTCATGTTCCCACATTTTGAACACTCTTTACCCCATGCAGGACATTTACGCATTTGGTGTAGCCTACCACAGTTCCTACAGTCTATGTTACTCTTATCCCTGACACTTGTACTGTCTGACCTCTTGACGGACTGACTACTGTGCGCCTTGGACTTAAAGTGTGACTTGACTACTTGAACTTCTTCATGTAGTATACTTTTCATTTGACTGGACGTTTTCTTGTTAGCCCTACATATGTCGATACATTTCTGTAGTGTAAGGTTAGGTTCCTGAAGTAACTTCTTTCTAGTAGAATTGTCATTTACGCCCATCACGATCTTATTAGAGGATTATGTATTTACTTGTTAGTCTATTACTTATGTCTTACCAACAGATAGTTGATTTTATTTACAATGTTACTTTTTGTATGTTTCAGACCTCCATCATTTTGGATAATAAAGTTATCTGAAAATAGTATCGGCCTACTTATCTATGATGGAGGTCACTGACATAGGAACCAGTTAATCTTACACATCACTCCTAGTTTGCATGGTGTCTTCAGTGAAGTGTCCAATCCCAGACTGTGACTTTGAAACAGATGACTTAGATGCTGCAATCGTTGCTGCACTTTTGACTACCCATGCGCTAGTACACACAGCAGCCTCGACTTCTGCAAGCTGTAATAAAGTGGAAAAAGTCAAACGGCCCACCATTACATCCGCTTACGTGATGTGCTTATTCATGGACTCAACGACTCTGAGATTCAACTTGATCTCCTTGGGGAAAGAAATCAAAACATGACACTTGAACAAACATTTCAATTCGTTGAAGCCAAAGAATCGGGTAAACGTTCTGCATCTAAACTACTTGTTTCTCAAGGAGCAGAAGCAGCTAGCAGTTCATATCGCCGCAATAAGAGTGCCGCTCGTATAGTGACTAAGAAAACTGAAATACAAGAGACACTGTGCACCTATTGTGGAAATAAAGGTCATGGTGCCAAAGCAACGCCACAAACTCGCAAAAAAGAGTGCCCTGCATATGGTCATACATGCAACAATTGCAAGCGAATGAACCACTTTGAGTCTGCATGCAGAGGCAAACGAAATGTGACAAACACTAAGACTGAACAGGAAAGTGCTGTGTTTGATTCACTTTGCGCCGCAACCAGTCATGACAATAACTATGGTAGAAATGTTGTTCAACTTGATCATCATCTTTACAATCAGCTATCAGACACTTGGATTCGCCAGCCGTCACAGCCTCAGCCTTTTATGCATGTGACTGCTCGTGTTGACCCTAAAGACTATGACCACTTCGGCACTGACCCAAAGATCATACCGAAACCAAAGACAGCTACCATCACCGCCATGGCTGACACAGGTTGCCAAAGCTGCCTAGCCGGCATTAAGGTGCTACATCGGCTTGGCATCTCAGAGAAACATTTGATCCCAGTGACTATGAAGATGCATGCTGCTAACAACGTCAGCATAAGAATCCTTGGGGCAGTCATCCTCCGCATATCTGGCAAAGGAACGAGAGGTGAAACTTATGAAGCTCCCCAAATTGTGTACGTTACCAATAACTCTGACAAAGTGTTTCTTAGTAGAGAAGCGTGTGCATCACTTGGCATGATAACACCGAACTTTCCAACTATTGGTGAAGCACGTAACATCAACAACGAAATTATAGAGACCATCAGCGAATCTGTGTCCTCCCCAAGTACACAAGATGATTATGCACACCACGGTTCACAATCGACATCTTCTTTGGATTCTACAACCACATTACGTATAGACAGTGACGACTGCAAGTGTCCTAAACGCGAAACACCACTGCCTGCACCATCGGTTCTGCCGTTCCCAGCAACCGAAGCGAACCGGGAGAAACTGCAACAGTACTTACTAGACTGGTACAAATCCAGCACCTTCAATACATGTCAGCACCAACCACTTCCGCACATGTCAGGCCCACCGATGCGGCTCATGGTGGACCCTGACGCCACACCTGTTGCTCATCATACACCAGTCCCAGTACCATTACACTGGCAGGATGAAGTGAAGGCAGGCTTAGATCAAGATGTTCGACTCGGCGTTATTGAGCCTGTTCCGGTCGGGGAACCAGTTACATGGTGTCATCGTATGGTCGTCTGTGCAAAGAAGAATGGCAAACCGCGACGGACAGTAGACTTTCAGGCACTAAATGTTCATGCAGTGAGGGAAACTCACCACACACAATCCCCATTTCATCAAGCTCGCTCTGTTCCACGTCACACTAAAAAGACTGTCTTCGATGCCTGGAATGGGTACCATAGTGTGCCTATCCGTGAAGAGGACAAGCACTTGACCACCTTCATCACACCATGGGGCAGATACAGATATAAGACAGCGCCTCAAGTATACATAGCCTCCGGAGATAGATATACACGCCGCTTTGACGAAATTGTATCTGACATTCCTGACAAAACAAAGTGTATAGATGATGCTCTTCTTTGGTCGGACAGTATCCAGCAAAGTTTCTTTCAATCGTGCAATTGGCTAGAAACCTGTGGAAAAAATGGTATCATTCTGAACCCTGACAAATTTGTGTTTGCAAAAGATACTGTTCAGTTTGCTGGCTTTGAAATTACTCGTGACAGTGTGCGACCATGCAGCCGTTATCTTGAAGCAATTCTGGACTTCCCTTCACCTAAGAACATAACTGATATGAGATCTTGGTTCGGCCTTGTAAATCAAGTATCATATGCATTCAGCATGACTGACAGGATGCAAGCATTCAGACAACTGCTCAAACCTGGAACTCCATTTTGCTGGGATGACACTCTAGAGCGTCTTTTTCAAGAATCAACCAATTATCAGTGAAATAGAACACGGCGTCCAGATATTTGACAAGAATAAACCAACTTGTCTTGCCACAGATTGGTCAAAGAATGGCATCGGATATTGGCTTTTCCAAAAACATTGCAATTGCTCCAAAAACCGTGCCATTCTGTTGCCGAGACGGATGGAAAATAACTCTTGTTGGGAGCAGGTTCACTAGCGCCACCGAATCCAGATATGCCCCCGTAGAAGGCGAAGCACTTGCGGTTGCTGATGCTTTAGAAAAAGCGATATACTTTGTTCTCGGATGTGACAAGCTAATCATCGCTGTGGATCACAAGCCCTTAATCAGACTTTTTGGTGACAGATCACTAGAAGATATTCCTAATTCAAGACTTCGTAACCTAAAAGAGAAAACTCTACGTTACAAATTCACAATGTTACACGTGCCCGGCGCCAAACATCGAGTTGCTGATACCGTTTCTCGTCACCCAGTTGGGAAATCTGATAGCATGGTTTTAATCGATGATATTGCTTCTGTTCATATCTGCAACAAGAATGAGGCGCAACATACCATCCAAACACATTATCACAAAATCGCAGATGATACACTGGAAATCCCATTGAAAAGTAGCGAAGCTATCTTCTACTCGACAGCATTGTCATCAGTCACCTCACTTCAGTGTATAACCTGGGATAGAATAAGGACTGCCACAACAAGCGACGAGTACATGTTCCAGCTCGTACAGATGATTGAAAGTGGCATCCCAGAAACACGAAACGATCTTCCAGTTCCCCTGAGAGAATATCATCAGTTCCGTAACAACCTCTCCACTATCGATGGAGTCATCATATATAAGGACAGAATAGTGATACCACCTTCATTGAGAACAGACGTGCTGACAGCGCTACACTCAGCCCACCAAGGCACTTCATCCATGATGTCAAGAGCAGAAACATCTGTGTTTTGGCCCGGCATATGCAACGACATCACCAAGCTTAGAAACTCATGCAACCATTGCAACAGAAATGCCCCATCCCAACCCAGCGCCCCGCCAACTCCATCTGTCTACCCCTTATATCCATTTCAGTGTGTTTGTGCCGACTTTTTCCACTACAAAGGCGGTAATTACCTGGTGATTGTAGACAGATACTCAAATTGGCCAATTGTTGAAAGGGCACAAGATGGCGCATCTGGCCTTGTTGATTGCTTACGCCGCACATTCGTCACATTTGGAATACAGGATGAACTGTCTTCATGGCGGCCCGGAATTTACAGCTTCAACAACCAGAGATTTCCTAAAAACATGGGGTGTGCACTACAGGCTTTCTTCTGTAGCCTTTCCTCATAGCAATTGTAGAGCAGAAGTTGGCGTGAAGACTGTGAAGCGCATGATCACAAACAACACTGGTCCAAATGGTGAATTGGACACAGACTCCTTCCAGCGTGCAGTGTTGCAATACCGTAACACTCCAGACAGGGATACGAAATTATCGCCAGCAATGTGTGTTTTTGGGCGGGCCATTCAAGACTTCATCCCAATCTTACCAGGCCGCTATAAGCCACACGAGACATGGAGTGATACGCTTACCCTGAGAGAAGAGGCTTTACGTATCAGACACATGAAGACCGCCGAACGCTTAGCTGAACATACGAAGCGTCTGCTGCCACTAAAAGTTGGAGACCTCGTCAGGATTCAAAACCAAACTGGACCATATCCGAGAAAATGGGATAAAACCGCAACTGTTATAGAGGTTCACCAATATGATCAATACGTCGTACGTATCGACGGATCGGGCAGAATCACGCTTCGCAATCGAAAGTTTCTACGCAAGTATACACCTGTGTATTCTCCCCCTGAAAAGCAATCTATAGAGCAGGACTTGAAACATTACTTCAAAAGGGACATTCCAAACTTTACTCCAGTGGTCCCGGCAAATCCTTTGAAGCCCAGTCTGGACATCAATCCACAAGGGATCAGTAAGCGTGCACCAGCTTCACAAGATCTGAGTAACAGTCCACCTCCTGTGCAGGATAGGACGTCTCATACAGTCCAATCTAAACCGCAAACACCCTTGGCATTGGACGGATCCCCAAAAATGGTTAATTCGTCTCCCTCTCCAGCATCGCCCAGGCTACCCCCGTCACCACATCCTCCAACTACCTCACCTGCAACACCAGTCACACCCAGGAGGATCGTGACAAACAGACCAGAGCAACTATCCGTTGACCTTACCCCAAGACGTCCTAATCGACAACGACAAGAGCCAAAATGGCTTAGTGATTATGAGCATTAAACGGGGCAGAATAATCCCTGAACTGGAGGGTAGTCTGCCCAATTACAGTTCTACTTTTCTACTTTTTAATTAATGTACAAATAGTACCTTATCATTTTAATTTCATTTTCTTTGTATGTTACATTTACTGTTAATTGATACATAATTTGATCTCACAATGTAATAACAGTGTTAAGGCATATCACATTTTCAGTGACAATGAACAGTAATAGACTTATTCCATCCATATTTCCCACAAGGACAAAAACATTAAATCAGTCATTTAAAATACTTATAAATGACTCGGGGAGGGATAGAGGATTATGTATTTACTTGTTCGTCTATTACTTATGTCTTACCAACAGATAGTTGATTTTATTTACAATGTTACTTTTTGTATGTTTCAGACCTCCATCATTTTGGATAATAAAGTTATCTGAAAATAGTATCGGCCTACTTATCTACTTATCTCTCACTAGACTATCCTCTAATGCTCCATAGTTACATGTTTTTGTAAGATTTCTCAAGGCTGACACATATGAATCAACAGTTTCATTTGGACCCTGATTCCGGTCATTGAAACAGTACGTTTCGTTTGTCTTTCCGATACAGAAAGTTTCAAAAGCTTTGATGATTTCTGAAACATCTTTACTTTGGTCCGCTGTCAGTTCAAACCCCTCAAACAGTTCGATTACATCCGGCCCTACACATGTAAGAAATGTCGCCGACCTAATTTCAGCTTCTTTCTTGCTAAGACCTGAGGCGATCTCATAATTTGCCCAAACTCTTTTGAATTTTCTCCAGTTTGTAGCCAAATTACCCTTCAGATCTAACTTTGGCGGGAATGGCATAGCATGCGGGTTTACCATCGCTTGGACGTCTTCGCCCATGAAGATGAAGTTTTACGTGGACAGTTCGTAACCTTGCCTTACCGTATTGTAGCTTCATCAACTCTACACTTCTGACACCATGTTACGTGTTCTCAACACGTTGTGAGGGTTCAGTCTTGTAAGGACCAGCCCGGAGAGACGACACACTCGTGTTGACTGTGAGCCATGAATTTATTCTTTACTCAACACCAGTATATACAGTTCTATGTACGAACCTACTACTATACACAGGTACTGTATGGTATCTGAACCGAACCAAAGCATTATATTAATTAATGCCAGGTACTGCTTATAGCACTATGTATAGTTAACCACTATATTACGTTACAATATCTACGTCCCTGCCGTTACTAAGGCTAAACATCTAGGACGCTAGTTCCTTGTTGTTCTTTGTTGTAACTTCAATGTTACCTTGGCAAGTCTGTACGTGGAGGAAGTAACCTCAGTGGAAGTACCGTTTATGAAAAGTAGTCTGTATTACTGCATGTATGGAGGCCCAGAGCTGTTTATGAACAGTAGTTTGCATTACTGCATGTATGGAGGCCCAGAGTGGATAATCATTCAATGACTGTGTTGCCGTGTATACACCTTTGATATCGTTTCCCGGAGGCTACAGCGGTTGAATTACAGATCAACTCCATACGTCATCAGGCGCGATGACATTATATTCCATGTTGTGTTGTTTACCGTTACAAAATACATCCGGATCTTCGAGTGAAACTTTTGGATTCATAGTCCAGGACACCTTTTTGGGTGGTCGGGTGGCGCAGTGGTAACGCACTCGCCTTTCACCTAGCCGACCGGGGTTCGGTTCCCGGAACGGATGTGAAAACGTAAGGGGTCACCTGCCCGACCACGTGGGTTTTCCCCGGGTACTCCGGTTTCCTCCCACAATAAGACCCCTCGCGCGCTTACATCCGGGCCAACAAGAGTGATTAGTATAAGTTGACATCTTGTTTCGCAATTGTTGTAAAATAAATAAAGTTTATATTTATGGGCACAAATGACAGGCATTTAGGTTTTTGAGTGTTAGGTATTTTGTGGATAATAGTGATTATGTAAAGCGTGTGGTGTAGAAAATAATTCCACTTTTCTCGTGATTTGAATGGGAGTAGTTGGTGTTGATGAGAGTATGAGAAGATGCTACAAAATTTTGTAAATAAATGTAACTATTGTATTTCTATGGTCTCTTCTTTCTTTACAAGCTATAACCTCGGTACATATTAACACTATTAGTCTTCAATAGATTTCAAAATTTATTTCCTGATCGATTTAAGATTTTTAAATATTCTGTTCTTTATACAAACGATTTTACCTTTGCTATGACTCATCATCGCAGCCGAAGTTCCTTTTACCTATTATTCTGCATTTACAATTACAAATGCTACCCAATTCCTCCTCTCCTTCTCGTTAAACGACCACCCTAACTACAAGCCACTCCAGTTTTATTACAATGTTTAACTTTCTTTTTCTCATAAAAAGCAGACAAATTTCGACGTCGTATGAAGTTTTCGTAACTATTAGCTCTTTCATGATTTCAGAGCGGGCTTTTTAGTATCAGAATATAACGAGGCGTCTCTATGTTAGTTCAAAACTTCAGGTAGAGTTGCACAATTCTGCATTGTGTCATCAACGAATATTTACATCTACAATTTTTTCGGCATTTTTTTCTGGTGATCTCGGTTTGCTCGCTAAATAGAGAATTTTGTGTCCATTGGCAAGACACTTCACCCTTATTGCCCTGAATACCAAGAGACGGGCCTCTCGTTAGGTAGCCATCAGCTACGACAAGGAGTATCCGCCTCAAAATAACGCTTTATGGCTGCATCGGGCCGATAACACAAACAAATAGAGAATCAATTAAGTAATTAAAGTAACTCTTGATGGCCCGGATGGAAGCGCACGAGGGATCTTACTTTGGGAGGGAACTGGAGTACCCGGGAAAAACCACGTGCTAGGGCATGTGACGCCATACTTTCTCACGTACCTTTTCGGGAATAGAACACCGGACGGCCAAGTGAAAAGCGAGTCTGTTACCAGTGCGCCATCCGACCAAGTGATCAAAGGCAGGTCAAGGTGATTTGAATGAGCAAACTTGAGAACCCGTCTCATGGCCTTAGGACTCTGGAGATATGTTACTCGACAATGGGAAATCTGATGGACTGTTTATATACAAAGGGCAATAACCTGCAGCAGTTTCAATTTTATTATCGACAGTGTAATAATCATCGTCAATCGGAAATCCATTTGACCTGTTATGATTATTGGGAAACAAAGAGAAGAAGTTCTCTTATGTCCTCAATGTAAGAAACACAAAATCTGCCTTCCTCCCAGTTTAGTTTGAGCCTACGTCTGTTCTACATTTAATCGCCAACATTTAATGCTAGAACAAACCTGAAAGACTACTAGCTCCATGACCTAGCCAAAGTTTCCCCTGACCCCTGTTTCTGACATTAGCCATCTAACAGACAGATATCCTTAGCGCCTGAACGCAACCAGCTATTGAAATGTTGATTTTTTTTACACTATTTAGATGCCGACAAAATAAGCTTTACATAAAACCTGTATCCTACATATTTGTGAATCAATTACAATGGTTATGGTCGACTACAAACAAAAAGGTTCTATTCACTTTAAACCTAATTTCAAGAAGCTGACATCCCGTGTCTTGAGCTGATGATTCAGCGGAAAGTTTAAATGATGTTTTACTTAAAGTGAACATGGGGATGTCAACTTTAACCTTGTCCATAACTATTGCACCGTTAGAGGTAGGGCTTTTGTATTTAGCACGAATGTTCATCGTGACAAGGTCGTTCTGGTGGTACCAAAAGTTCTGTCAATGTGACCTTGATCGTGACCTTTGACCTACTGTTGGAAAAATATACTGGCCTTAACTATTACACTGTAAGACACAGGTGTTTCACAAAGTGTACATGCAATAAGTACACGTCTTTCACAGTGCGGTTTTAATGTCCCACTCCAGAGTTTTGTTGCAACCAGGGGCAAAGCGTTTCATAAACACATCCTGTTTCTTTATTTAACGGGTTTTACATCCACTATTATGGCATATCGGCCTTTCAGCGGTTGACAACCATAAAGGAATGAAACAGTGACATCTATTGAACTGGACCCACCTCCTACTCCCCCATACAAGACATTCTACCAAACATCAAGAAGCTAACACATTTTGTGCTGCAGTGAAGTCTGCAATGCATAATTACATCATGTTTACACACAAGGATAGGTTTTGTTAACAATCCCTACCTTATATCACCTTACATGTTGATTCTGATGTACCTCTAGATTTGGCTCCAGTAATATTGTAGCATTCCCAGAAGTCATATCTTATGGGTTGGTTCTCTAGATGTTTATAAAATCTAGACTAAAACATGTTTTAGTGTGATGGAGAACGCGTCCATATTCTCTTTAAGCCGTTCCATATACCCATTGCCCTTAGTAAGAAAAAAGTTCTTTCTCAGTGATATTCTGCTTCCTATAGAGAGTGGCCCCGCGTCGTTGAGGTATAATGATATTCTGCTTCCTATAGAGAGTGGCCCCGCGTCGTTGAGGTATAATGATATTCTGCTTCCTATAGAGAGTGGCCCCGCGTCGTTGAGGTGTAATGATATTCTACTTCCTATAGAGAGTGGCCCCGCGTCGTTGAGGTATAATGATATTCTGCTTCCTATATAGAGAGTGGCCCCGCGTCGTTGAGGTGTAATGATATTCTGCTTCCTATAGAGAGTGGCCCCGCGTCGTTGAGGTGTAATGATATTCTGCTTCCTGTAGAGAGTGGCCCCGCGTCGTTGAGGTGTAATGATATTCTGCTTCCTATAGAGAGTGGCCCCGCGTCGTTGAGGTGTAATGATATTCTGCTTCCTGTAGAGAGTGGCCCCGCGTCGTTGAGGTATAATGATATTCTGCTTCCTATAGAGAGTGGCCCCGCGTCGTTGTGAATAAACCTTCGGATACATTTTTTTAACCATACATGCCTTTAAGCACCTTGATTTTCTTTATAAGATCACCAAGAATTCTGCGGAACTTCGATGTTGGTCGTTTTAAATTCGTTCAGTCGATCTCAGAATCCAGTTATCCGAGACCCAAAAGCATGTTGGGTGCACGCCTTCTCAAAAATATATACACAAATTTGCTAGAACAAGCCACTGTTTTCAGTATAATTCCAGTATTGTTTTCCTAAGGCCCTAAATAATTCAAGGGTCCACTTGTTCAGTTAAGGATCTAGGTATGAGTACCATGGATATATTAGCTTTCTATACTGGTATCTGGAGGAACTCTTCAACGCTTGGCTGGTTGTCAATAGCAACCCCGATAACCCCACTGGCTATAAAAAATGAACTGGTTCTCAATAGTAACTGGCCACTTCCTACCAAAGCTTTGCTGGTTGTCAATAGCAACGTCGAAAACCTAACTGGCTATCAAAAAACGAACTGGTTGTCAGAAGTAACACCGCCTTCTCACTGGCCACTATCAAAACTTAGCTGGTTGTCTGAAGCAACACCAATATTCTTCTCACTGGCCACTGGCTATCAAAGCTTAGCTGGTTGTCAGAAGTAAAACCAATATTTTTCTCACTGGCCACTGACTGTCAAAGCTTAGCTGGTCGTCAGAAGTAAAACCAATATTCTTCTCACTGGCCACTGATTGTCAAAGCTTAGCTGGTTGTCAGAAGTAACACCAATATTCTTCTCACTGGTCACTGACTGTCAAAGCTTAGCTGGTTGTCAGAAATAACGCTGATATCCTTCTCACTGACATCCGACTCTAATGTATTATAGTTAGGGATCTGTTTCCTGTCCCTTATTTCTCAATCTAATATTCATAACTTAATCACTTATCTGGATGGAAGGGTAACTGCCAGTCTGTCTTTCTTAATTGTCACCGCATCAACACCACCATCAATAACCTTATAAAGGTTTTATCTACAAAAATGTGCACAGATTTTAACAAATACAGATAACTTGATGAATAAGACAAATAGTACAGGTCCCAACACTGACCCCTGAGGTATGTCACTTGCTAAGTCCTGGGTCCTTATAGGTCCCAACACTGACCCCTGAGGTATGTCACTTGTTAAGTCCTGAATCCTTATAGGTCCCAACACTGATCCCTGAGGTATGTCACTTGTAAAGTTCTGGATCCTTATAGGTCCCAACACTGACCCCTGAGGTATGTCACTTGTAAAGTCCTGGATACTTATGGGTCCTAATACTGATCCCTGAGGTATGTCACTTGTAAATTCCTGATCCTTATAGGTCCCAACACTGACCCCTGAGGTATGTCACTTGTTAAGTCCTGAATCCTTATAGGTCCCAATACTGACCCCTGAGGTATGTCACTTGTAAAGTCCTGGATCCTTATGGGTCCCAATACTGATTCCTGAGGTATGTCACTTGTAAAGTCCTGGATTCTTATCGGTCCCAACACTGACCCCTGAGGTATGTCACTTGTAAAGTCCTGGATCCTTATGGGTCCTAATACTGATCCCTGAGGTATGTCACTTGTAAAGTCCTGATCCTTAAAGGTTATAATACTGACCCCTGAGGTATGTCACTTGTAAAGTCCTGATCCTTATAGGTCCCAGCACTGACCCCTGAGGTATATCACTTGTAAAGTCCTGGGTCCTTATAGGTCCCAACACTGATCCCTGAGGTATGTCACTCGTAAAGTCCTGGGTCCTTATAAGTCCCAATACTGATCCCTAAGGTATGTCACTTGTAAAGTTCTGGATCCTTATAGGTCCCAACACTGACCCCTGAGTTATGTCACTTGTAAAGTCCTGGATCCTTATGGGTCCTAATACTGATCCCTGAGGTATGTCACTTGTAAAGTCCTCGATTCTTATCGGTCCCAACACTGACCCCTGAGGTATGTTACTTGTAAAGTCCTGATCCTTATGGGTCCTAATACTGATCCCTGAGATATGTCACTTGTAAAGTCCTGATCCTTATAGGTCCCAGCACTGACCCCTGAGGTATGTCACTTGTAAAGTCCTGGGTCCTTATAGGTCCCAACACTGATCCCTGAGGTATGTCACTTGTAAAGTTCTGGATCCTTATAGGTCCCAACACTGATCCCTGAGGTATGTCACTTGTAAAGTTCTGGATCCTTATAGGTCCCAACAATGATCCCTGAGGTATGTCACTTGCAAAGTCCTGATCCTTATAGGTCCCAACACTGATCCCTGAGGTATGTCACTTGTAAAGTCCTGATCCTTATAGGTCCCAACACTGACCCCTGAGGTATGTCACTTGTAAAGTCCTGGGAGTCCAATACTGATCCCTAAGGTATGTCACTTGTAAAGTTCTGGATCCTTATAGGTCCCAAAACTGACCCCTGAGGTATGTCACTTGTAAAGTCCTGGGTCCTTATAAGTCCCAATACTGATCCCTGAGGTATGTCACTTGTAAAGTTCTGGATCCTTATAGGTCCCAACACTGATCCCTGAGGTATGTCACTTGTAAAGTCCTGGATTCTTATCGGTCCCAACACTGACCCCTGAGGTATGTTACTTGTAAAGTCCTGATCCTTATGGGTCCTAATACTGATCCCTGAGATATGTCACTTGTAAAGACCCCTGAGATCCTTATAGGTCCTGATCCCTGAGGTATGTCACTTGTAAAGTCCTGGATCCTTATAGGTCCCAACACTGATCCCTGAGGTATGTCACTTGTAAAGTCCTGGATCCTTATAGGTCCCAACACTGAGGTATGATCCCTGAGGTATGTCACTTGCAAAGTCCTGATCCTTATAGGTCCCAACACTGATCCCTGAGGTATGTCACTTGTAAAGTCCTGATCCTTATAGGTCCCAACACTGACCCCTGAGGTATGTCACTTGTAAAGTCCTGGGTCCTTATAAGTCCCAATACTGATCCCTAAGGTATGTCACTTGTAAAGTTCTGGATCCTTATAGGTCCCAAAACTGACCCCTGAGGTATGTCACTTGTAAACTGATCCCTGAGGTATGTCACTTGTAAAGTTCTGGATCCTTATAGGTCCCAACACTGATCCCTGAGGTATGTCACTTGTAAAGTCCTGATCCTTATAGGTCCCAACACTGATCCCTGAGGCATGTCACTTGTAAAGTCCTGATCCTTATAGGTCCCAACACTGATCCCTGAGGTATGTCACTTGTAAAGTTCTGGATCCTTATAGGTCCCAAAACTGATCCCTGAGGTATGTCACTTGTAAAGTTCTGGATCCTTATAGGTCCCAAAACTGATCCCTGAGGTATGTCACTTTTTTCAGTGTAGCACTTCCACAGTCGATGCTTTCATTTAATGCTCTGAGCTGTCATATGATTTAATGGGAAAAGATCCTTTCTTTGAATTTCTGACTGAAAGACACGACTCTAATTTGAGTCTAATTTACTTAACACTAACCTACAAGTCTCAATATTAGATAAATTTTACACCTTCTTCCAATCCATGGGTAGTATTTTACATAACATAAGTTATATATCTCGTCTTGGGTCTTTGTTGTCTGTATATTATAACATGTAAATGTCCAACACACCATGATCACCCGCCGGAACAGGATTGTCATGGTTTATTGAGTCTCATTATCAGTAATCATTTTTAATGTATATATAAATACTAAATCAGTATCATTGTTCGATTTATGTTTATTTACAGATGAAAATGATTACAAATGATCTCCTGGATAGAGAGAATCTTACAAGTCAACTAACTCCAGTCTGGTCACACATAATTTCAAAGAGAATGATAGTCTTATTTGAAGCAATGGTAATCCTTTATTAAAGAAATTAATTTATTGCCTTCAAAATCCCAACCTATATATGTTTCATTTTTGTTTTGACAAGAAAAAGATATACATCTTTAAAATATTATTATATATTAGAAATTATTTTAACTACAACTTTTCTTGAAAACAGGATGAAAGAATATCAAATTTCAAAGCATAAAAATCCTTATATGGGAACAAATTCTACTATGAATTTCCACCAAGTTTCTCTAAAACCCATATGATTTGTGATGTGCTGTATTCTTGCCTTATAAATGTTGTTTTAAAAAGTCACATCTGTTATATCTATTTTAATAACTTGAAAAAGAAAATTTTAATTATATTATTTTAATTCATAATGGTCAAAATTACACAAAAATCTATTTTTAAATTACTGCTCATGAAAACTGAACAAACCAGAGATGGTACTTTGTCTAAATCTGGGTCTCTGTACTGCAATATAGATGTGTGTGGTAGTTTATAAAGAAATGTAGATATTGACTGCTTATAGCACCAAATTAATTACTGTTCAGCTACACCCCTTTTGTCTCTTTCATTCTTTAAATGCAAGTCTCTTATGTGTCATTTGATGGCCTTTTTTATCACGTTTCAATTTTTGTTTATTTTTTAGAGTGTAACAAATTAATAAGTGATTACAATCATGCAATCCATAATGATTCTTAATATCGTGATGTCATAAAAAAGGGAGATTTTAATTTGATCTCTAACATCACATCAGATATGATACAGAGCCAAAAAAATGCATTTTGTGACTTACATAAAAACTTTTTCAGTTAATTTCCTTATCTAGAATTTACATTTTATTTCAGACCCATTTATGAGCCGCTTTAGAAAGTTTTAATTCCAGCACATCGAAGATGAGATCCTGATATTTATCATGAAGCATTTCAAATTGTCTCAATGTTTGAGAAGACTACAGAAACACTAAAAGAGGGACTAAGTCCCAGTGGATGATGATCTCAATGATTAAATCTGATCTTTTAATGGATGTACTAAGTTGAACATTTTGACCATTATGAACCAGATTGTGACTTGTATTTCTCTCACACACACATCACACACATACGCACCATAAGTCAACGTGTTCGTCCATCACACACATACACGCCATAGGTGAATGTGTCCTTGTGTCACACGTCCACACCACAGATGAAGAGTCCACCTACTACACATACACGCCATGCGTGAATGTATCTAACACACACATACACACCACAGATGAGCATGTGTCTACCACACGCTAATGTCCATTGCACGTGACCGAGTTAAATACGGGGGGCTCTCATTTGTGAACCATGCCCTGCTAACTGGCACTATGATGCAAGGTGGATGGTAAAGTGGGGCGCTCCTCAAGCTTATCATATTCCAGGTGAAACTCTTTTGGTACTTTTCGCCAGCCCTGCGCTTCAAAGAAGTAGTATGTGCCACGCTCATATGTATTGGTCTTAACAATTGGCTCCAAACCCGGTGCTCGTGTCATCCACACTCTTTCTTCCTTATGATAACGCCAGTCCCGAGTGTACCTGGGAACAAAGGAAACACCATAATAATTTTGGATATGGAAAGTAGGAAATTTCCTGGCAGAAAGAGATCTTATGAGTACAATTATTTTTCCTTTTAGACAGATATTTTGTTTACAATTCAACTTTATAAGACAGACTCTTTATCTAAGATACAATTTTATAAGACAGACATTTTATCTAAGATACAACTTTATAAGACGGAAACTTTATCTTAAGATACCTCTTAAATATTTTACCAAGACATGAATGCCAACACTCCCAAGCAAGTATCATTGTTTGGTAAATTTTTGACACCTAACTTGGATGTTAAATCAGAGACCCATAAACCTGGAGAAATTAGAGACATTCTTAATGAAATGATGGTGCTATAATCAATGATGTTACCATAACCTTAATAGAAAAAATTAATGAAAGCTGAAAATTCTTACAACTCAAATGCTGCAGCGAGCTGAAGAACGTCTCCTCCATTCATGTAGAAGAGATAAAACAAAAGGTCCTCACCATATCTGTTTAATTTTACTGGAGCAAGCTGTGAAAACCAAGACAAGGGTGTTACTGACAACAAAAAGTTGATCACATGACACGGAAGCATAAAACCTTTCAGGATAGTATTGCATTAAGTTATTTAAATAAAGGCGATTATCAGAGCAAGGAAACAATTTAATGTCTTGTATGGGATGCCTGAAGGTCAATAATAATAATTTTAATATTTGACAAAAAAAGGGATCAAACACAAAGACAATTCAGAGTTCAAATATTGGCAAGAGCTCTTTGCCATATTCCTTGTCTGTATATCCTCAAATTTTCCATATTTTTTTCATAATTGATTTAAATTATGATAACTATTTCACTCATTTATTGTTGACTTAGAGCATGGAAACCGTCCTAGACTGATTGATTTGTCCCAGCTCACTTAAGGTATTGGAAAAGAACTTTTCCCCAGTGTTTAACACAGGATAAAAAATCAATCTTATTTTGTGTGATCTTATCTGTGACCAAATATTGTAATTCATAATAAAAAGTTTTTTTTTTTTAAAAAAGAATCAAAACAATAAAGAAAACACCTGTCAAAAGAACCTTAATTCAAACTCAAATTTCATGAAACTCAGAGAAGTTTACTCTAATGCAAACCTAACGACTGCATCAGGCATAAGTACAAATTTTTCTCTTGATGAAATATGTGGGAATGGTAGCCTGCTGGAAAGAATACTGAAGGTCTGGTGCACACACACTAAGGCCACTTTTACATAACCTGGTTGAAACAGTTCAGGTGGTCTGGCATTATTCCACTAAACATGAGTGCACATGTACTGGATGTTGGACCTGATATATGCAATTCCAAAGCTTTTTTGGAATTTCTGGTCATTCTTAAAACAATTAATTCAAATTAAGATACAATTCATTTCACTTAAACGTAATAGCACAATGTTTCCAGAAATGTGAGTGCAAAGACCCTTCTTTATGCTGAAATTCTGAAAACTAATGTTATTCAGAAAGTTAGCTTTGAATAGGTATGACTGGACTCCTCAATCTGCACATGTTAAATATTCTTCAGTCCAGCCTCAGTCCCGGCCTGTACCTCACTTTTTAATGCCGATTCAAGCGGTCCAATCATTTCAACTACTTATGCGAAAGCAATCTAAGTAGAGGGTGACATCCTGGTCATCTGGCTATTTATTTTCAGCAAAGTCAATAAGAATTATTAGGGGAGATAATTCCTACAGTATTATTCCTATCAGTATGAGTGAACAAAATAAAATCATACAGAGACTTTTTAAAGAATTCAAGAACTATCATGAAAATTTCTCTATTCAAAAAATGATATAATTCAGTTCTCCTTAAACATGACATTAATCGCTCTATAAAATTAGAATGATTTACACTCAAAAAAAGAGTACTGTATTAAGAACTGTGCTTAATTGATATATACCTTGTCACGGATGAAAATGTTTGTGAGGTATTCTGCTGGCACATGGAAATCTAAAAGCATGAAAGTAAAAAAAATCAATTATAAGTATTTCATAATAAAGCAAACTTCAAATCTAAGTCCACTTATCCCCAAGAGTAACCCTTTTTCACATTCTTAGAATTTTTATCAATCACACCCAAAGAATCAACAAGTTTCAACTTTATATACACAAAAAAACAATTTGAAATGGAAAAAAGGACTTTGATACATTATGAAAATTTTTGCATTCTGTTTTTTGGTAATATAAATCATATGGATTTATAGATGACATCCAACAACACACTATTCAAATATCTTAGGGGCACTGATAATTGAAAGTATTGTCAGGCATCAATTCAGACAAAAAATTCTTTAGTATAAAAAAATCCAGAAAAAAAATTATATAATCATGCAACTTTTATGATAAATATATGAAGACAGATAAAAGTATAAAGTTCAGGTCTCATGCTTTTTACAGCTTCTAAAAGGTTAACAAGCACTTCGGTTTGAAAATAGTAAAACCAGAAAACGTGTCAGATATCAATATGCTCCAGCTCCCATGCATATTAGTATCATGGTTTCATAAATTTCCAGGGGGCAACAATATGTCATTTAGGAGTGTTTGTCTTCATAATCTCAGGTCTGAAGGGTGTCGTTCGACATTCCGTACCCCGAGGTGTAACCTCAGATCTGAAGGGCGTGGTTTGGCGTTTCCTTACCCTGAGGTGGCTTGTGTTTCTAAGGAAGCACTAGACCAGTCTGGGTTAATAAGGTGGTGTCCTCAGGCAAGACACTTGACACTTCATTGATCTGGATGGCTATGATGTACCTCAATATTTTTTTAGTGAGATAGCCACCCGTTACTTCAAGGAACCCCACCATGAAATAACCTGGCTGTTCTTGGGGTAATAAAATCCCGTACATAAACAAAGAAAATATTGGTAGTAACTGACCATGAAACCCATAGACAGGACATCATCCAAGATATCATTAAAGTCGTCTTTTGTAAAACGTTTGACAAAAATTACTAGCTGCTAGAGTAATGGTGTTGATTCTGGATGACACAGAAGATCGTCGGACCCCCATTCCCGCCTCATGCAAGTTATCTATCATACATAACATTCATCAGAATTCGTGAATACCATACAATTGTACAAGGTATTATCAGAGCTAAGTGTAAATGATGTCTAAAGTCCATTAAGCAGCAAACTTATGTCACAGAAACTTACATATCATACCTTGACCTGGTGAACTTCACACCATGTCTCATTAGAGAAATTGAAGCTAGAAATATAGGTCACAGCGACCTAGATAAGTGCAGAGTAATGCAAAAATCCCAATAACGTTTCTGTATGTAAGGTTTTTGTTACTTCAGATTTTAAAGATGTAGAGAAATTGAAGAAGATGAAAAGTCTAGTAATAACATAATACATGTACAGACACCAAAGGAAATTATGTATCAAAAACGATAATGATAAATTCAGGTTTCTTGAATTTTCTCAGTAAAATTGTTTGTGGAATTTTGGTATTAGACGACATTATACAGAAAGTAAGACGTATGAAATGAGATAAATCTTCAGAAATTTTGCTTGGTAATAGTTTTTAATAAACTTCTAAAAGCCAATAAATATTAAATGTATCTACAAACAAATCAGAACTGTTTCTAGCTGTCAGTATCTAAAACTGAATTGGAAATCCCTAAAAATACTGTATCTATCGTACAGACACAGAACATTGTTAATATTGAAAAGTCAGCAATACAAGGGCATCTAAGAACCCATTCAATGTTACAACCTGCATTCATATAATACATGCTTATTCAAATTCAATCTAGGCATCTCAGAAGTGCAAAAAAACATGAAAAAAATTAGTGTGTATAAAAACTAGTATTAATCATTTCAAAACCAAAAAGATTGTTTTTCATTCATTAGATAGGTGGAAAACGACAAAATTGCAAACTCAAAAAAAGAAATTGGGAAATTATTTTTTTCCCTGAATATTCAATTAGAACACTCAAACTACAAACACTGAGACAAAAAATTGCAATCAGGGACATAATTATCCAAAACACAATACAACAAAAATATACATATATATTCACACGTGCTAATGTTATTGGTTTTATTTTTTCTTTTTGCAAACAATTTAACTCAAACTTTACGTTAATCATAACACACTCATATGCATTTTTTTCATCTAATATGCACAAAAAGCACATAAGTCATCCGTAACTAGCCAACCAAAGCAAACTGAGATAGGATGGTGAATGTGAAATCAGACCTATATCCTGTGGTCTGCACGGGGAATCAGCCCACGGCGATTGAAATGTGCTGTACAGATTTCTGGAAAAGTCACAGGAACCAAACTTATAGCGAGACAACAACAGAATTAAACGTCTCTTGCCAAGGCTAGTGAGCTTCAAAGAGAAAATACTCGCCATGGAAAGAGGGCTTATTTCATAAAGCACCTGGACGTTTCACCTTGCCAAGGGAGATCACTCTGTCAAGCTAAAAGGAGGGCGAGATACATGGTACAATATGTAAAATTGCTAACCTATATCCTGAGGTCTGCATGGCAGGTCAACCCAAGGGGACTGAAAAGTACTGTATAAGTTTCTGCAAGAATTGAAAATTACAAGTTAAGATAATAAAATATATGAATCCGAAAGGAACATTTGATATTCAATTGATTATTTCAAAATGGAACAAAGAACTGCTGCCTCTGAAAAAAACCAACAGTTTGACTGACATCGCTGAAATGGTAAAAAAAGATATCTATGTTCTAAATCTTTTTTTCTTTTAGATATGTCAGAAATACTTAAATTTCAAATATTGTATATTTATAAAGGTAAATTTTTACATTAGGATACATCTCACTTTCTCCAGCTCTTCATAAATGTGATAGCGTTGGTCACTTCTTACAACTGATACCATAATATAATTTTTATTCTCCCATACTGTTACAAGCACCTTGATCAACAAAATAAAGTTTCAAATAAAGCTAAAATAGTAAAGATTTACAATGTTAGATGGCCCGTCTTCATCACATTGACTTTGGTGATTCATACATGAATCTGAACGAAAACCTTTGAGAATCCTCGAAAAATCTTCGTAAATTCAAATAAAAAATTCCGGAATATTCAATCTTATGCTCTTATCTTATGCAAAGAAATAAATAACTTTTTGAAAACAAATAAATGTATTTAGTATGAATAACATTGTCAATACATGTTACAATCAAATGTCCTTGACCTGTTCCAGTGAATTTTTTTAGAGTTAAAAAAATCCCAAGTACTCTATAATCGCAAGATGTCCATAACATTTCAAAATTTTACTGTTAGTCTTTATGTTAAGACCTGAACATTTCTGGAGTTAAATCTATCAATCTGTATGTTTTGTTAATCAAACATTCAGTCCTGGCAAACTTATGTTTTCTCTTCAATGTTAAATTACATATCTAGCCATCATGTTCATTTCCTTCAGCTGCTAAGTAATATTCAGATCTAGGATATTTACCAAAGTATTTAATATTATCATTTTCTGAAGAGATATACAAATTTCGTAAAAAAAAATTGTGAATTTACTTACAGCAAGTTGAATGAAACACTATTTCATTTTTTTTAACATCAAAATTACATCTAATCCAGAAACTTAATACACAAATGAAATCAACTTACTCTGGTGAGTTGAGATTCAAACCTAACGTTGTCAAGTCAATGCCAGGAGCTAGTGCCACCAAGTTTGGGTCGTTTTCAGCTGCACGGATAAACGTTAACAATCCCACAATTCCAAACTGGTCCGTAACCATACCCGTGGGTATATTTGATACTGTACCTGAAGTTTACAAAATATGACAAAGTGAACTAGGTTCTGAATATCTGATGTATATTGATAGTCAAGATTTCTTTGATTATAAGAACAAAATATTTTAACAATATTTCAGTGACTCGTGCATTTGATAATATTCAGCCAATATTTCGTACAATATTCCAAACTGTGATTACCATAAATCTGACGCTAATGGACAGAACAATATTTATCTTTTACCTTTTTCATGTATAAAAGTTATGAAAGGTCACCGATAAATCTATCAATTTTCTACAGCAACCTTAGCCCAAGCATATCTTTGAATATGGCTGCCACCACACAAGATTCCAAAGGTTTTCATTGCAGGTCTTTTGTAAAATAATCTCATGGCCATTTTGAATCCTTACAAAAAGTTTGGGAAAGACTGACATACATATAAATTTACAGCAATAAGGTACATTGTATGTATCATTACACAACTTATAACCAATTCACTCACCATCTGGATGTGTCTGTATACCACGTTTTGATTGGGCGTTGTTCGACTTGTCGCCTGGGAACTTCCCGTCTTTACTTACAGCCTGCTCATACGTGCCTGTAGCTACACTTGTAGGCTGTAAATCACAAAACAATTATTCATATTTTATTCTACAATATAATACTGCTGCTGTCCTAACATACCACTCATTTAGAACAGATTTCCATATAATTTATCTCCCTTTTCAATTGACTGCCCTTAATAAACTTTACAATTCTAAACATTGCTAATTACCACATACTTCAAAATACAAAAACTCAATCTAATTTCTCCTGTCACGTTTCATTACAATGTCAAGACAGTAATCATTATCATAATGAAGGTCAAATAAAAAATATTACACAAAATTATCCATGAAATGGAATCATTTTTAGGATCCAGTAAAATCATTAATTTTTGAGGGGATTTATTTTCATTTATCTCATAGGTACTCTTAATCCACAAGTTCATATTCAATAGGTGTGAGTAAATTCATTGAGTTATATATATTTACCAATAAAATCAAGTGTCCACCGAAATTGAGCACCACAAAAATATATGATTTTATGGGAAATTAAAAATGTTCTGATGCCATCTATTTTGTAATGTACTCACCGTTTTACGTGCCCCTTCTCCTGCTGAACTTGATGGAGGATCTGCAGAAGAGATTGATTCAATGATAAAATAGTTGTTATCTTTCCACTCAACATAGATTTTATAGAAGGAGAATGTGAAAAAGTATGTTAACATCTCCTACACTACAACATCACAATTGAACCAGCGGACAAAAAACTTATCCACTTCTATTTTCAAATCAGTCTTGTAGGCTACTTTAGTTGAAGTATATGTTTATTGTCTAGGCCTTGAACCCCTGACCCAGAGGTGGAAGGTTTTTGATAAAGATTGTGAGATGCACTCGTCCACCATGGCCCTAGACTACTCTTTCTGGTTATAATATGTACAGGTCTCTATACATGGGATATAATCTGATGGCACTATATTTTTGTTTCTTTTTGGAAATATTTAGAAAATATTTACATATATGAAAAGGTGATTTTACACCCAAGTAAAATTTGATTGGTTGAAGGATTTAATCCCTCACAACAGCTAGGTCATCTGTCAGGAACACTAGCTAGAACATCTGCTGGACCTGAATAACTCCTACAAGTTATTATAATATACTTCAGCATTTAAAAAGACAAAACTACACTGATTGAGAGTAACCTATCACTAAGCATGATTAAGGCTAAAAGTTATCTTTGTCCACTCACTCTGAGCACCAGGTAAGGCTGGGAAATCCTCTTGTTGTATCTGGAACTCTGGTGTCTGGTCCATTACAGGCTTACTCACCATACCAACTACAACACAAACATAAAAGTTACCAGCAAAAAGCCGATTCTAGCCAATACAGTTATTACTGACCAAAAATCAGTCCACATCTGCTAATAGATCCATTTATTTTTACTTTCTGTGAACTGTAAATTACTGAATGCAAATGCTATTAATCTCTAACAAGCAGATCCCTTCATTCTGTGGCTGGGACACGGTCCTGTCCTCTCCACTATTTACCCAATAAATTCAGTAACCATCTTGTGTGTGTAGTGAGCCTAGCTTCAATCAGGATAAATATTTCACAAGAACAAACTCATATTTTTAGTTAAATTCACAAATCAATTAAAACAAGCAATAACAAACTTAGAAACCCTCAAATAACTCCAATCTATATATAAGAACCCTTTTCCAAACAATTTTAAGTGAATTTCAGTACAAACAATGGAAAGAATCTGGAAAAAGGAGCAAAATAAATAAATAAATAAATAAAAGAAAATTATTATTTATAAAAAGATTCAATTGAATTTTGTTTCAAAAAGTTTAAGTTCTTTTCAAACTGAGATTTCAAACAGAATTAAAATTTTTAATTCTGTTATCAAATAGATATGTTTTCACAATATCAAAAAAAAACACAAAATTTTCAAAAGGTAACACAAAACTTATTTGAAATAATTATAGGAAAATTCAATTGAATCTCAAAAGGAAAGAACAGATAAAGAAATAAACTCAAATGTACATGTGCATTTGGCACAAAATGAAACTGACATTTACCGTAATTTCTTGCAGCAGGTATCGGATTTGACGGCATGCTGTTTCTGTTGCCAAGTGTTGGGAATTCAGAAAGGTCTAACCCAGGTTGTGAGGAGTCGTCAGTTCCAAAAACTGTCAAAGAAATAATTCATTAATGGCAAGAAATTTTTGTGGAATGAAAGGACTGTGTCCCTAGTTCCATTTCACAAAATGATTTCCTTCCCAAAAACTGCACATGTAAAATTCAGACTTCCATCTATTCATTAATAAACTTGCTTTCCCAACTTTGATTTTCTAAAATGACAAAGTTTTAAACAAATTTTAATTCAGAAAAAAAACTGCACTGATTAATTGAGCAAAAAACATATGTACCCAATGTACATTGTTTATTGAAGGTATACACAAAATTTGTACGTTTTCATCAGAAAATTTCATTTCTTAAGTCATAATATTTTAATTATGCAGACTTTTAATACAATATTGAATATGAAGATATAACAGTACCAATGAGCTGTGAATCAAATTTGATATGCTGTACCACTTAAATTTTTTTTAAAACTGATCGACAAATATTCATCTCATCCAGATTATGACTAAAGTCACTGAAGCATGAAACGTAAGTCAAATTAAAGGAAACCAAGAATTATATATGTAGAACCAGTTCTAGGTTCATAGAATTCCTCTTTGAAACTAAATTTTTAACAGTCATGTAAGGATGAAAAATCAAATCAACATCACCATCCCTATTTGTATCACTCATGGAAGTATTATATGGACTACCCAATTTTTCTGAATCAGATGAAGACAAAATTTCACCAGTCAGCACCAAAATGTTAGATTCATAAATGCAAATGATCAGAATAGTCTTCTTATTTGTTACAATTAATCTATACGAATTTTCCTACGGCAGATGAACAAATGATAAGTATGCAGTACTGTGCTTTTATGCAGTAGAAATTGTCATATTATTTCGAAACAGTTGATAAGACAGGATGTCACTGAAAACAAATGATTTTATCGGCAAACTCTGCCATTTTCTGTTTACATCGTATTTTTAAATAATTTTCCACCGTTCCCCCAAATCTTTTCACCTCTGCTCTGAAAGAATCACAAAAACCAATTACTTCTACAAAATCTACGATGAAATGACTTACTCTGTCGACTACTTTGTCCAAAGTTGTAGTTGTTGTTGAGACTTGACAGGGGAGTACTTGAGCTGTTAAAGTAAACAAAACATTTAATATAATAACACTTTTATCAAAATCAACAATTTACAGTTTAAGTTTGTTGATTCTCACAACAATGGCACAGTTATAATACATAAACATTTAACACAACTACGATCCAAACAGAAGAAAATCCATGAGAGCTGCAAATTTTTCATAAAAACTAGTCTATACCATCATAGCTTGTTTCTGTATACCGTAAAAACCCACGTAATGTCCGCATCTGTGTAATGTCCGCACCCTTTTTTTGACACAAAAATCTGGGGAAAAAACCCACCTTCCATGTAATGTCCGCGGGTAAAAAATGCAAATTGAAGCTGCCGATTTCATTTCACGTACGCTAATGTCGTAATGGCCGAGAGCATGTCGCATTGTGTATAACTTACAGGTACCATTCAAGAATTCACTTAATTGTTTATAACAACAGTTATTCTCCATAATGGTACAGTAAGCTTACTAGTATGACAAGTCCTCATTTCGATAATTGGTGTTTTGATAAGGGTTAGCCCAGCAGTGTTATAAACAGCTTGGGTCGTCTCCTCACCTCGAGTGTGAGTGAGTGACAGCGTGTGATTAGCCAATTAACGATAACTATACAGTAACATGACCCGCCCATGACCCACGGCGCCACTGACCCTACTGACACACCATCAGACGACGAGAACGCCATTTATTACAACGACCAGACAGAGGAAGACAACTTCAACGCCGAGGAGTTCTTCCACAGTGACGACGACGACTTCTGGGGTTTCGAGAAACGCTATTAAACCGGCCTGCTATGTATTAAGACTTTCTGATAAACGATCCATAATCAATAAAACGTCTGATTATTTATTTTATGTAATATTCTTGTACATGTTATTTATTGTTATTTTGTAAATAAAATGTAGAATGAAAATGTTGTGTTATTTTGTATATGCTCATGGGTATGCTTTTTCAATGGGAAAGGGGAATAACTCTAACTTTATTCATGTGACAAAGTCAAACAAAATGGCTTCCTATTACGAAGGACGACACAATACGAACCTGTAACGAGAAATTGGAAGGAATTAACCATGGAAACTATAATAAATAATCATAAATAATCATGTTTGGTTGAGGAAACATCATAGAAAAAACCATAGAACGATAATATCAGGTATGCTTGGCTTTTAAGAACACAATTCAAGGAGATATGATATGAATTGTCGGAAGGAAAAAAGTGTCATTTCCTCTATATCTCTGTAATGTCCGCACCCCCTTTTTTGGATTGATTTTCGGTGAAAAAAAGTGCGGACATTACATGGGTTTTTAAACTGAACTTCTGGAGACAAGATTGTTGCAATATAATGGAGACAGATTTTATCTGTAAACTGATAAGGAGACAAACTGTTCCAGGGCTCGTTTCTGTATCACTGACTTACTTCTGGAGCAAGATTGTTCCAAGGCTCGTTTCTGTATAACTGACTTACTTCTGGAGACAAGATTGTTCCAAGGCTCGTTTCTGTATAACTGACTTACTTCTGGAGACAAGATTGAGGCTCGTTTCTGTATCTGACACTTCAACAGATTGTTCTGGTTTCTGTATCACTGACTTACTTCTGGAGACAAGATTGTTGCAGGGCTCGTTTCTGTATAACTGACTTAAGGAGACCAAACTGTCCCAGGGCTCGTTTCTGTTAACTGACTTAGTTCTGGAGACAAATTGTTCTAAGGCTCGTTTCTGTATCACTGACTTACTTCTGGAGACAAGATTGTTGCAGGGCTCATTTCTGTATAACTGACTTACTTCTGGAGACAAGATTGTTGCAGGGCTCGTTTCTGTATAACTGACTAACTGGGGAGCAACTGTCCCTTGGCTCATTTTTATATCTGACTGCCTTAGGGAGAAGACTGTCACGGGCTTGTTTCTGTATAACTGACTTACTTCTGGAGACAAGATTGTTGAAGGGCTCGTTTCTGTATAACTGAGTTAAGGAGACAAAACTGAACGAGGGCTCGTTTCTGTATCACTGACTTAGGAGACAAGATTGTTTGTTTCTGTATCAAACTGACTGTATAACTGACTTAGTTCTGGGAGATTGTTCTAAGGCTCGTTTCTGTATCACTGTCTCAGGCCTGGTTTCTGTATAACCGACTAACTTGGGGAGACTCAACTGTCCCTTACCTCATTTCTGTATAACTGATCTGATTGTTCCAAGGCTGGTTTCTGTATACTTACTTCCAAGATAGGGACTGACTTACTTCTGGAGACAAGATCAGAGTGTTCCAGGACTGGTTTCTGTATAACCGACTAACTTGGGGAGACTCAACTGTCCCTTGGCTCATTTCTGTATATCAGACTGCCTTAGGGAGATCAGACTGTCACGGGCTTGTTTCTGTATAACTGACTTACTTCTGAAGACAAGATTGTTTCAGGGCTTGTTTCTGTGTAACAGACTTACTTTAGGAGATCAGACTGTCTCAGGCCTGGTTTCTGTATAACCGACTACTTTGGGAAGACTCAACTGTCCCTTGGCTCACTACTGTATAACTGACTGACCTAGGGAGATCAGAGTGTTCCAGGACTGGTTTCTGTATAACTGACTTCCTGTGGGACACCACACTGTCTCTGGGCTCATTTCTGTTCAACTTACTTAATTTGAGAGACCACACTGTCTCTGGGCTCATTTCTGTACAACTTACTTAATTTGAGAGACCACACTGTCTCTGGGCTCATTTCTGTAAAATTTGCTTAATGTGGGAGATCCGACTGTCCCTGGGCTTGTGTCTATATAAGCTATTTAAATGATCAGATTTCTCTAGGATTTGTTTCTGTCTGACTTACTTTGGGAGACCGGACTGTCCAAGGGCTCGTTTCTGAAGATTTGATAATGACTGATTGCCCTGGTTTTGATTCATGACACTTCTTTGTCCCCCGATGGCAGATATAACATTCCTGGAGGAAATCAGAAAAATAATTAATTTAAACTAGATTACAACACACAGCATATACACAAAATGACAATCAAAACCAATTCTTAGTTATGATAGTACCATGATCTTCTGGAAAGCTGGCAAGGGCAGCTAAATGTAAAATTATGAAAATTTTAGCAAAAATATGGACCAAATTAGCACCTAGGATGAAGATGAATGGTTGTTTTTATTTTGCCAACTGATCATAAGTTTATGCCATCTCAACATGAGAAGTATAACACAGGGC